TTTTTGATGAGCAACGTGATTTATTTTTTTTAAACTTCTGGTGACATGTTGGTGCTGGTGGTGACTGCTGTCCACCCAGGAGCTGAGCAGTTCACATCTCCGTGAAGCTGGTGGATGTTGCTGGTATTTAGCACCTCCAAGAGTCATGCCTTTCCTATTGAGGTGTCAGCATAAATACGTTTATTTAGATTACTTAAATAAATATGTGTTTAGGAGCCTAAGTCTAGGTGCTCAGATCTGAGGCCAAAGGTAATTACGTTTTACTGTGTTCTTCGAAAAAGCCCTTCACTGCATGTGTGAGGCTTGCACATCTACACTTCAATCTATATATTTGGAGAGATGCGGGATGATGTATTTGCATCACGTGTGGGTGATGAAATACTTTCCAGCCTGTTAGTAACCAAAAGGATATTAAACAACATCTCTTAGCAGTGAACGCTTTAAAATTAACAGTTCTGGTTAACACGGACCCAAGAGTCTTAAAAGAATTGGGTTTTGCATACTGAAATTAATTTCGAGTAATTCTCTTTGCTAGAGAAATTACAGAACAGATGAATTGTTGATTTTGTGTTAGTTTTCTGAAAGAGCTTTATTTGGGTAAATGAAATCCAGGTAACCTGACACCAGCTGAAGGGAAAGTAGGGGGCACTGATATTTAAAAGGCTGTTAAAGTTAGATATGTGCATGTAATATGTTTGAACACTTAATTTAACAGTGTGTAATATAATGTACCAACGATGAGGGCAGAGCAGCAGGACCTGGGTCGTGTGGGACCCCAGGCCCCTGAGTGTGTGTTCGGTGGGCCATGGGCTGCTTGCTGGATGCAGGACCAGTGCTTTGCAAACTGGGGAGCTCTGGAAAAGGTCCTGGCCAAACTGCACATCTCGGTGCCCACTGTGGTGACATGTCCCGGCGAGAGGGGCGACCTCGGGAGAGCGTGTCCCGCGGCGGTATCGCATCGCCCGTCGCCGCGGTAGGTTTTGCAGGAAACAAGCCTGCCGGGGGCAGGGCTGATGGTGCGGCTGGGCAAACACCTTCCAGTGAGAACTTAAAAGTGCAAACCGTTTAGCTTATCTAGAGGATTGACAAGTGACTTGATTGCAGTGTGTAAATATCTTTGTGGGAAACATACTGGTTACTAACGGACCTTTTACTGCTTTGGAGAAAATTGCTGGTTCTTTTTATGTCCTTACAATGAAGACAGATAAAATCCACTTATAACCAAGACCCGCGTTTTGTTAAGGTGATAAACTCCTGAAACAGCCCGCTGAGGAGAGGGGTGGCTTTTCAGACCGCACAGACCGCAGAAGTCCTCATGGGAGGTATACCTGAACAAACGTGGGGCACCGGGCTGCGCAGGGGGGGGCTCTCTTAGCCCAGGTGATTTAATGATTTCTTCTGCCTTTAAACGTTCCGAAACTGTTGGTTTCAAAATGCTGAAGAAAATTTTGTCCCTAGTTTGAGTGGCACCGAGGCCTTGAAAGGGGAGGTTGGGAGGTGGCTGGGCTACCAAGGGTTGAAGTCACCTGTCCCCCAGGATGACTTGCGATGGGCAAGGGTGTTGGCATCACCCAGACGCAGGGGTGTCTCACAGATCCCAGGAGAGCATTGCTGGGTGCCTGCTTTAAGAGGGATTTGTTTCCGCGCTAAGTCATCTGTGGTTGAAAAACAGATCCATTGCAAGTCGATGGAAAATAGATTATGCGAAATTGAATAAACATCGTTTCTTGGCCCGGGTACAAATGAGCCTGCCCTGCTGTGCCAAAGCTGCTGCCAGAGGGGGACGAGGCCAGGCGTGCATGTCGGGAGGGGGAGAGGGTCGTGTTCGCTCTCCTCCACATCCTTTGTCGGCCGCGGTCCCTCCCCGTCAGGGTGAGGGGTTTGCCAGTCCAGCGGTGCGGTTGGAGACATGTCTGTGAGAAAGCCCAGGCGTGAGGGGCTGGGGAGGGCGCGCGGCCCCGCTCGCACACCGCCTCTGCCGCTGCGGCACCTGGCTTTGGAAATCTGGCCTTATATGGGGCCCTGAGCGAAACAGCAAAAAGGGGACGGGTGCCAAAACCGGAGCGATAACATCTTAAAGAAGAACGCTCCCTCTTCAGGCCCAGGGAGGAAGGAGATGGGCTTCCCTGCCCATGGTGTTGGGTTGGTTTTTTTTTTTTTAAATTCAGTACCTTATAAAGTCATGCGTGACCCTGGGGCAGTGCGGCAGCGAGGGATGGAGGGTTGGGGGACTGTTTTGCAGCAGCCTGCGCTGCCCGTAGGCTGCCACAGCTCATGCCTCCATCTCCTGCTCCAAGCAAATGAAGCACGTCCATGAAGAGCAGCAGGCTATGGCTTTATTCCTACTAAAAAGTCCCGTCTACATGGCAGTAGAAGGGCTGGAGCAGCCGGTGAGTGCTGCAGCCTGGGCTCTACCAGCTGCTCGCTGGGTGGGATGCTTCTCACAGCGCGTGGGGTGAAGTGGGATGTGTGGGTCCTGCGTGTCCAGGGACATGTCCTCCAGCTCTTCCCGGGGCTGTGCCGGCAAGTCTGTCCGCTGTGACAGCGCATTAGGCCACATGCAACCTCAAGGCATCCTCAAGCTGTACATTAGCATAACTACTAGGAGAGCAGTGATTTTAATTGCCTGATGCCACAACTGTTTGGGATAACCGGCAGTGGTAGCACTGGTCACGATCCTACATGCTTTTTTGACTCCGAGCTTCCACCAGGAGGGTCCTGGGGGATCTGCAAAGCTATGGTTGCAGTCTCTTATCGGAGGGAGTGAGATGCAATTTCCTTATTTTCCACCCTGATAAACCCACACCACGAGCGTCTGGCCCCAAAATGCCCCTGCTTGCATTCCCTGCGCCAGCAAACTCGCTTCTGTCACTCCAACTGTGCTACCATGTGCAATTGCATGCGTTAAATACCATCCCTTACTTCTCCCTCTGAGTTTAGGCACTGTGCTAGCTACAGCATATTGCAACAGCCGTGCTTCAATGTATAGCCTCCACAGCCAAGGCAGGCAGTGCTGGGGAGCTGGGCTTTTCTGCGTGCTGTTAAGAACACATCATTTGAATAGTGTGTCTCGTCTAGGAGAAACACCGAGCAATACACGCCATTGCAAGCCAGCTGGCTGTGATGGGAAGCCCGCTGATAAGCAAGATGTCTTTGGTGAAAAACCACACCGTTGGGGAGGGAAAGAAAGGGATGTGAAATAAAAAATATTTTAAAATTTGATCTGTACATGCAGAAGGCGTAGCAGAATGTGAGCCCATGTCCTGGGTCAAAAGCTTCTTATCAAGTTACCTCTGGTCAGTGATGAGTTAAAGACTTTCTACAGTCTTCTTGCAGGTTTAAATGGGATGCTGCCAAGATGAAACAGCTCCTGGGTTCTTGGTGCTGTTGCTAGCATATGAGTTTATTAAACATGAATTTTAAAACTGTGAGGAACCTGTCACCATTTCCTATTTGCACTTCACTCTTCTTGGAAAGGGAGAGGAGGCAAGCTTGTTTCTTAAAGCTGGACTGCTTAGTGTTTTATAGCCTCGGTCTCCCTTTCTGATTTTCCAGCACCAACTATGTTTAGGTTTCCAGCACTGCAATGTTTAAAACTAAAACATACTGTTTTCCCTGAAACAATACTGGGTTTTGTAACTTTCTTTTTAAACAAATCTGAAATGGTTTTGGCACAGATGCCTTGCCAGCCTCCTTCTAAACAAACCCCGAGACAGCAATATACATGTATGCCTGCAAGAGGCACCACAAAAGCATCTGGAAATGGCGGGGCTTTTCTTCTCATCCTTCTGCTGCCTTTTGTGCCCGAGCCCATTCTGTCTCCAAGCCCTCCGAGGAACTCGATTAAGAGGAGAGGAAGGAAAACTCCATGAATTTTAAGCGGTGTGAGCCCGGGTTCACCCAGCGAGACTCCAAATTGGCACGAGCAGAGCAGTGTCTGGGTGATGTTCAGCGACGGCCGTGTGCTTTCTGCAGAGCTGTGTTCAAGCCTGCTCCAGGGAAGCCACGCTGCCCCGGGGAGCAGACGCTGGGGGAGCGGGGCGGGGGGGGGGGAAAAACAGGATCTGAATTTTCTTTGCCTTCCTCCGCCTTGCCAGCAAGCACTGGGGCTCTGGCTGAGCCCGGCAAAGGTCCTGCTGCCTTTGGCTTTGCCTCTGCGTGGGCAATGCAAGGCGGGTGCGAAGGGGAGGCGGGGGCTCGGCTGGCATCCCCGCACCCTGCCCCGCCGGTTTTTCTCCTCCACCTCTTGTTCTCTCTCAGCGGGCCGTGGTGGGAAACGGCTCCCAGGGCTGGGCAGAGCCGCATAGCAGTCAAGAAAGAGGTTTTTTTGGCTCCTGCTTCTTTCCGGGGAACGGGGACACGGGCAAGCACTGTTCCTGGCACTGCTGCAGCCGTGGGGATGGTGGGGTGGCCGCAGGCTCTGCTGCAGGGCTGTTCACGGCATGGATCCTGCTCTAACCTCCACACGTCGACATGTGGCTGGGGCACAGTGGTCACGCCGAGGCTGGGTTTCCCCGTGCCTGTGGAGGAGGAAATGGAAGGCAGACAGATTTTCACCCTGGTAGAGCTCAGTCTGGACACAATGCACAAGAATTCATGCGGCACAGAGCTTTGAATGTCAAACCCTAAAAAGACATTAAAAACCCCATTGCATTTCCCCCCACATTAATGATTCTGCCTCATCCCCGCTAATGAATACATCCTATTCTTCCCCACCCTGGTTTTCCCCTCCAGGAGCATTCATCTAAAGGCTGGATGCCGTTTCCCTTCTTGGCTTAAATCGAGGCAGATCCCGTTGGTTTCTTTGGCTTTGATGCGTGAGAGTTGGGTCATGTGAGAGGGTCACGTCTGGTGAGCGAGGCCCTGTCACGCGGTAGAGCCGATGTCATGAGTTCGGGCTGCGGGAGGAGGACGCCGGCCTCTTGGTGGGGGTAGAGTTGGCTGTCCCACTCGCAGCCGTGTGAGAATTGACCACCTTGTGTTTTCCTCCCCTCCCGCAGTGACCTCTCCATGCAAGATCCTCAAGTGCAACTCTGAGTTCTGGGCGGCCACGTCGGGCTCCCACCACCTGGGCACGGAGGAGGCGCCCGAATTCTGCACGGCGCTGCGCGCCTACGCCCACTGCACCCGCCGCACCGCCCGCACTTGCAGGGGCGACCTGGCCTACCACTCCGCCGTGCATGGCATAGACGATCTGATGGTGCAACACAACTGCTCCAAGGATGGCCCCACGTCCCAGCCCCGCCTCCGGACATTGCCCCCTGGGGATAGCCAGGAGCGCTCCGACAGCCCCGAAATCTGCCACTATGAGAAGAGCTTTCACAAACACTCGGCTGCCCCCAACTATACTCACTGCGGGCTCTTCGGGGACCCCCACCTCAGGACTTTCACAGACACTTTCCAAACCTGCAAGGTGCAAGGGGCTTGGCCGCTCATAGACAATAACTACCTGAACGTCCAGGTCACCAACACGCCGGTGCTGCCAGGTTCCACAGCCACTGCCACCAGCAAGGTGAGCCTTGGGCATGTCCCCATGAGCAGAGGTGGGCAAGGGCAGAGGTGCTGCAGAACAGCCTTTCTTTCTATCATCTCTCTCCACCGTTTGCACATCTCCTTGGGGAGGGTAAAACCGGGTGGAAGCTCCTCTGAATTTGAGCGTTTGGCCCTAAATATCAGATGCCCATCCTTTCTTTGTCCCCTCCTTCGCTTAAATGGCCTGTGGTTTCTTCCTGAGCACATCCAGCCCCGTCGTGGTTAGCAGGCTGAGATGCTGCAGCTCAGAAGGCCATCGTGGCCAAAGTGGGGGACTGCAAATTAAGAGGGCTCCCACCTGGGGGACTCCAGCTTGCTGTGAACAAACAGCCAGACCGCGAATGATTGTGGCACCTTTTGGGGCACGCTCAAGGTCCAAGCAAACCCAGGACTGCCCTAGCAAGGAGGCCCCAGTTTGCAGGGAAAAGCCTGGAGGGAGCTGAGCTCCTCACACCGCCTTCCCCTCTGCTCAGGTTTATAATTGTGTTTGTGGTTTGCAGCCAAGTCAAGGCATTTTGTTGGGCACAGTCTGTTCTGGAGGTACTTTGACAGCCTAGATAAACACCCTGAAGGTACAAGGCAAACACTGAGAAAACCCAAGTGAAAATGTGCTGCTGTGATACAGCAGGACTTGTGTGGCATGGCCTCAGCTTCAGGAGAGACCTGGAGTTGATGAACTGTTATGTTGCTCCATGGTGCACAAGCTCTAAAGGTAACAGGCTGCTTTTTGTGCCAAAAGAAGGGAGGCTCAGCGGGAGGCATTCTCTTGCTTTTGCAAGATGTCCTGTCCCGCCTTGTCTGGGAGTTCTGCTTCTCCCTATGTGTGGAGAGAGGAGAGAAGCACATGTAGGGCAGGGGCTGCTTCTCAGCTATGGATGTGACCTTTTTAGTCTGAGGCGGAGCTGGCGTTTTGGTTTTAACCTGCCCCTAATAAACCTCCTTAAAGACACTTAATGATGCTCTCGACATCTTACCTATCGAAAGGCATCAAAACCTGCTGAAGCTTGCAAGGAAGTCTGGCTTGAGGAAAGTGGTCCTTAAGAACCCCAGGGGCCTGCAATTTCTAGTCTGGATCTCAGGATCTTAACTGAGCCTTTTCACCCGTTATCTGCCTCACGGGCTTGTGGTGAGGAGGGATTAGTCATGAGATCTGCAGCATGAGCTGTGGAAAGCATTACTGGGCCATTGCTAGAGGACCTTGTGCCGTTGGAAGGGACGGAAGCCTCTCGGTTGGGGCTCTTTGTGTTTTTGCATGATATTCTGTGGTCTACCTTTCTTCCTCCAGCCAGAGGCAGGGCTGGACCCAGAGGAGGTAGCAGGAGGCCCATGCGAGGGGTAGTGAAGCCTGAAACCCAAGACGTGGTGGTGCCTCGTGACGTGGCTGAGGGGGGGGTTAGCAGGGCTGCCGTGGGGCTGGGAGCATCTGGGTACTCAGTAGAGGACTGGGTGAGAGAGGAGGACATTGCTGGGGCTCTGGACAGCCCTGGGCTCCTTGCCAGCGCCAATGGGAGCAGAGGTGCTGGGAGCCACCACCGTGTTCAGCCCAGTCCTTGGAAATTCTCAGTTTTACCCTTGGGGGTGCCTGGCCTGTAGCTGCTGGAGCCATCTCTCCTCCAGCCCTGCCCCACTCTGGCCAAATCTCAATCTGCTCCTTCATGGGGGTCACATGGCGGGAGGTCCCCCCTTACTGCTCCTCCCTCATGGAAAGAGGTGCAAGAAGAAGAGCAAGTCTTCAAGAGGTGAAAGAGGAAGCATAGTTTGCATGGGAAGAAAAGCAAGTTGCTCTTCCTCCCATGCAAACTCTTCCTTCACCTCCTCAAGCCTTCCCCCCAAAGCCAGGTCAGCAAGGGAAGAGCAAATGCTCTGAGGTCCTTCCTCCAGCAAGGGATCCATGTTTGAGCCCAGCCAAGTGTGGGGAGCCATGCTGGGCTCAGTCGATGCCCATATCACCCCTAGAAGGCCCTGCCCACTTGAACATGGTAAAGGTGTGTGTCTGCGGGGTTGCAATGAAGCACGACATGTTCTGAGGCCCGGAGAAGACGACTGTTTGTCTGCAAGTGGCCATGGAAAGGAAGAGGTCCAGCCCTTGGGAGGTAAATGCCATGGGAGCCAGAGGAGAAGCTCCACCACCTCTAAGAGAGTCAGGGCTCATCCTCCTCTGCTGTCTGCCAGGCCCTGGAGGCAAGACAGTGCAGCATGCGTGGGCATGCTGCCACAGGCCTGTGAGTAGTGACACTCCACCCAGCTCCAGCTACAAGGGAGTTCCTGTGTTGGGCTTGGAGATAACAGCACAGATCCAGATGGTGTGTTCAGTCCAGCCTCTGGGTCTTGACTCCATACAAGGTGTCCCTGTCCCTGTGCTGAAGCCGGATGACTACGTCTGGGTGCCTCAAAGTTGGTCATCCTTCTTAGGATGAAACTCCTGGCTGGGCTGAGCAGACAAGTCCTCCACCTCCCATGCCACTCGTGGTGGTGGCCACACGCTCTCAGGTGGTCACTGCTGGCTGTAACTCTGTTCCTTTCCTCTCTCCACAGCTCACCATCATCTTCAAGAGCTTCCAGGAGTGTGTGGACCAGAAAGTGTACCAGGCGGAGATGGACGAGCTCCCCGCTGCCTTTGCTGATGGCTCCAAGAACGGTGGGGACAAGCACGGAGCCAACAGCCTGAAGATCACTGAGAAGGTGTCGGGCCAGCACATTGAGATCCAGGCAAAGTACATTGGCACCACCATCGTGGTGAGGCAGGTGGGCCGGTACCTCACCTTTGCTGTGCGCATGCCAGAGGAGGTGGTCAACGCTGTGGAGGACCGGGACAGTCAGGGCCTCTACTTGTGCCTCCGCGGTTGTCCGCTCAACCAACAGATTGACTTCCAGACCATCCGCTCAGCTCAGGCCACAGAAGGTCGTGCTCGTAGGAAGGGACCCAGCCTGCCGGCCCCCCCCGAGGCCTTCACGTACGAAACAGCCACGGCCAAGTGCAGGGAAAAGCTGCCCGTGGAGGACCTCTACTTTCAGTCCTGCGTCTTCGACCTCCTCACCACAGGGGACGTCAACTTCATGCTGGCTGCTTACTATGCCTTTGAGGATGTGAAGATGCTTCACTCCAACAAAGACAAGCTGCACCTCTATGAAAGGACACGGGATCTGGGCCCGGGCAACATGGCTCCCTCGGGGAACCCCCCTGCCCTCTGGGTAGCACTGCTGTGTTTGAGTCAGTGTTGGTTGTGCTTGTTGTAGGGGTTTGCTCCTTCGCACCGTGGAGAGCAGGGAAAGGGGAGCAGGAGGGAACCAGGGATGAGATGGCAGTGCTGGACAACAGGAGGTTGGATATCAGAGCTGCCTGAGTTGTCCTCAAACGTCAGCCCCTCTCTATGGCAGCAGGTCCTCCACCTTCCCAGCTCTTGCCTGGGAGGAACGTGTTCCCAGCGGGACCAGTCAGAAGTTTTTGCTGGATTGTACCTTCCTCACCTCCCCCTCTCCTCCTCCTTCTCCTCCCAGTAGTGTGGGTGCTGAGGAGCACCCACTCACATCCTTGTAGTGCTCCTCCAGGTCCCAAAGCTGCACATGGTGAACGTGACATTGGCGTGCACGAACGTGGCTTTGTCTTCGGAGAGCAGAGCCCACAAGAAGGGTGCGGAGCAGTGAGATGGGGCCAAGCCTGGCAAGCACAACGGGGCTGGGCTTTCTGCTCAGCGGGGCCATGCTCTGCTTTTCGGGCATGTCCCACTCTTCCTGCAGCCCCGTTGTGGCACACGGTGGTTCAAGGGGCCAAAATGGTGGGGAACGGTCCCACGCTTGCCCGGCTGCTGGTGCCAGGTATCTTCTAGGTGCAAGGAGGACACGTTGCTCAAGCCTCAGCTTGCATTTGCTGTGGTTCGAAGTGCATCTCTTATTTTAGCCAGTTGATTCAGCTGATTCACTCAGTAGTTTTATTCTTGGCTCCCTTGTCTCTTCCTGGATCCACTGAGGACTCTTGATGGCAATGGGAGTAATCTGGCCAGTATTCAAGCGGTTTCTGCAACTTCTGCCCAGCGTTGGATGAGTTCCTCGCACCATTTTTTTCTTCAGTCCCCTAAAACCAGCAGCGGGGAGGCTGCTCAGCGGGAGACCCCATCCACACCTCCCTCCAGCCCTGCACCCACTTGCCTGCCCACAGCTCGGCCAGGCCCTGGGATGGAGCAGGAGTGTCGCACTCTCTTTGTTTGCTGCTAGGTCTCTGCTCCGCTCCTCATCCTGGGGCCACGACTTGCAACCCCATTGCAGACCAGTTGCACCTTAAGCCCTTCTGGGCTTGAATCAGAAATGGGGCAATGTTAGAAATCCAGCCAGGAGATGGGATGCAGCAGAGGACCCCTCACAACTGTCTCCCTTCCTCAAAACCATTGATAATCTTCCCCCATCACGTAGTGTTGCCCATCTCCTCCTCTCCCCTGTTCCTCTGTGGTTCACCTCATTGCTTAGTGAACAAACAGCAAGACCACCTTTGGTCTGCGTCTTGGAGACCTCCTGATGGGCTTCCCCTCCTTTCCTCAAGGGGAAGTTCCCAGAAACAAGCCCCCAAACACATGTCATTCTTGGGGGCATCTCCTGCTCCCAAGGGAGGTCTCTGGGCATAAGACAAGCTAGCACCAAAAGAGGTGGGAACAGGCTACATTTGGCAGTCTGAACTGGTGCCAAGAGGCAGCCTGGTGTAAATACTCAACGTGACTATTCATTGTGTCCTAACAGCTCTAGAGCTCCATTTGTAAAGCAGCAGAGAAATGCAAATTGTGTCAATGGATGTAATTTATATTGTCTCTTTAATATATAGAGCCCTGGCATTGATCTCGTGTGACTGTACAGATGAAGAGTTGTAATTGGTTTTTAAATGTTTAAGGAAAGAAAAGAAACAAAAAGATGTGTTTACTACTTTGCTCCTTGCTTTGTTTGCTGGTGCCCCAGGTATTCTGTTTAGGGCGGTTTTGAAATAAGGATATCACAGTTGAGGCCCTGAGGAGAGCAACCACTGGACCGCAGCACAGGACAGGTTAGTTTCCCAACGCGCTAATTGCTCAGCCAGGCTGACTTGGGCTTTTTGTTTCCTTAAGAAAGAACCAAGTTTTTGTCTTCCCTAGAAATTCAAAACGCAAGTTTTGAAAGCCAAAATTAATCACTGGCTAAGAGGGAACATCTGTTTCTTGCTGTGTTACCCCATAGATAACAGCAGCTGTGCAAAGCATCCCTCTGAAGACACGGTGCTTCTTGAAAGCAGTCTTAGCTGGCCGAGCCACAGCGTGCCAACAACTCAGTACTTCCCTTAAGACTTCCCTTTCCTATAAAGCGATTGCCCTACGGCACGATGTGCTGTGGTTTAGGGGTAATTTCCAGCCAAGGAAAATCTGATAATGGTGTGGCTCATTCCCACTGTCCAGGTGAGCACTCCAGTGGTGGCCGGCCATCGTACAGTGGGTGGGGTATCCCTATTTTAGAAGCAAACAGTGAAGCACTTTATTTTGATTGTGTTTAACCCAGATCTCGTTAAAGGTGAAGTGTGGCCAAGAGAGACCCGACACTTGGAAACAAAAAAAAATACTTAAGCAAAGGCGGGGGTGTGTTACAAGAAGGCCCCCCCACACCTCCTCCCTGCGTTGAGACCCACGGGAGTGTCACCGCGTGTATATACTGTAAATTATTTATTGAGAGAAACGCAAGTAAAGTTTGAGGTTTTTTGACAAGAAATGAGTGGGTCTTGTTTTGTTCCTGGTGTGTTGGATGGTGCTGTTTGCCACGCAGTGTCCAAATGCTGCCCCATTTCTGCGTTCACTCTAAAGCAGCTTTCTTACACCTGTAACCCAAGGAGCCCTTGAGAGCTTATTCTGTCCTAAATTACCCTGAAAATTTCAGCCAAGCGAGAAAAATATAAAAAGGGGGTGGGGGCAAAAATACAGATAACAAACTGTGGGAGCTGAACTTCACTGGGAAAGGAGATGTGCAGCAATGGAGTCCAAGCGGGTACTGTCACCCTTCCCCTGCTCACCCCAGCAACTGGGATGTGCCCCCCATAATTTCCCCTTTCAATGATCAACCCTTTCTTGGACATTGCTCTTGCTCCCAGCTGGGTCTGTTACTGCCCTCTAATGAGGGAAACTGAAACTGCAATTTTTTTGTTAATTTTCCTTTTTTGAAAAGCTGAAGGACTCTCTGCCCCAGCAGCTGGGGCCAGGGAGATGTGGAGGCTGAGTGGGAGACCAGCACCAGCGGAAAACACACATTATTTGGGCAAATGCATGCAAAGATATCCAGCACCAGAAATTTGAGACCCAACCTCCCCCCCCTTCAGAGTCCCAAAGAACCAGCAGCTTTTGGAAAGCGCCAAACCCAACTCCCTTTGCCACCACTTGCACTAGCTCACAAGAGCTCAGCTTTAGCTAAATCTGAAAATTCATATAAAAACAGCCCAGAGCATGGGGGGAAGGGGTCTCCCTCACTCACCGTCCTGCCGAAACATCACTGAAGACCCTCTGCTCAGCAGCGTTGGGCAGTGAGCAGGCAGCAAGAGCACACCTCCATCTCCTGGTGGGACAAAGTGCTGGACGTAAGGGAATGGTGACCCCTGAGTGACCGGGATGCTCCTGTCCTCGTTAATCACAGACCACGCAGGGACACCGGGCCACGAGGGCAGTGGTGACAGCAATGACCCTACGGCATCTCCGAGAGGCTCGAATCGCTCTCCAGGTCATGTTCCATCGGCAGTGAGGGTGACAGCCCCAGGCTCTGCGGGCAGCCCACGGGAGATCCAAGGTCCCATCCCATCCTATCCCTCTGAGGCACACTGTCCTGGGGTGGATGGCTGCTCAAGCGCCACAGCCCCGTGTCTCAGGCAGGTTTTCAAGCCCCTTTTTGGCTGTGCCTGCCCATCCCCTGGCCTCGGGCCAGAGCCTCAGCTACTCCGAGCTTTGCATCTGGCTGCTCGGGGTGAGCGGGGACACTGCAGCCACCCCGCTGCTCTTCACACCCGGCTCTCTGGGAATAACAACTGCAGGATATTGTTCACCAAAAAATAGCTTTTTGCTGGGAACCGGCTGCCCTCTAGAGGGTTCACTCCGGCACGGCGTAAAGCAAAAAACGGGGGTCTCTCAGCCTCCCCGTCCCCTCACTGGGGGTTCCTGCTCCCTATGGCTGCACAACAGCTTTGCCGACCACCTTGGGCAATGGGTCCCCTCACTGAGATAAGCCAGTGGGCAGTGACCACAGCCCAGCACCCCGGGATGGCCACAGCACCGCAGGGACCGTGTCCTTATGGAGGAGACATCCTGACGGGGAGATGCGGGAAGTTGCACCGAGCCAAGGGGGTGGCTGCCCCATCGGCTTTGGCGAGGTTTCAGGATTTAACTGTTTGCAGCGTGGTGCTGCAGATGCCGGGGAGCTGATGCTGATGTCCACCCCCCACACACACACACACACATCAGTCACTCACCTGCCACACTGCTCTGGTTCCTCAGGCCTCTGCTTCTCCAGCTTTCCTGCGGGTACCCCTGGATAAGAGATGAGTCAGCGCTGAATCAAAAGAAATACATCACCTGCTTCAGGTAGATTCACATCCCTGTGCTCCAGGGCAGGGACACCCAGACCAGCTCCCCACAGTCCCTGCACCTCCCTCCAGCTGAGCCCCCTCTCCTTGCCACAGCCCCACAGCTAACAGCCCATCACTCTTTCCATTAGCAAATCCGTTTTTCAGGGGCATGTAACTCAGCTGTGAAATTTCACTCTCGGCTGAAACTTGGCTCAGCAGCAGAGAGGCTGGGAAAGGCTGGACCCAGTGGCTACAGGTGTGAAAAGCCCTTTTTACAATGAGCTCTTACAATTTGGGAGGAATGGCTTCAATCCCTGTGGTGGGCCTCTGTGAATGGGTGGAGGGTAAAGACCAAACCAAAGCAGCCGGCTGGATGGCATCGCATCCCACCTGGGGTGAGGGGAGAGGCACATCCTGCCCAGGAGCAGCTGGGAACAGAGCAGAGAACTCCACCGATGCAGTAGGAGCAGCACTTCTCCTAGAGAAAGGGGAATTCTCCCCAGAAAGGAGTAAAAAGAAGTTACACACCCACGGAGATCCAGAAAAGATGGAGGTTGGATAAACACATAAACATTGGTACCATCCCAGTGAAATCTTGGTGGAAATGGGTGAGGAAATGCGCAGCTTCTTCTCATCAGGTGGAAATTCCCGTCCAGTGGGGTTTCCAAGTCTCTATCACCGCAGACTGAAAAACTATGTAAAACAGCCAAGAAGAACATGCTTATTCCTGCACGGTGAAAATACCCATTGCGGCACACCTGTGGCTGGCAGGGAAGGTCTCTGTGATCCCGTAACAGCCCCGGTTTTAGGTGCTCACACTCTGCTTCCACCAGACATGCTGCCGTACTGAGGGGCTGCAGGACCACCCCCCCCCAGACACACCACGCTGGCGCGGTTCTGAAAATCTCAGTAACACTTTTTAATATACAAGAATCAAAAGTACAGCAGTTTTACAATGTAGGAAAATTTAATACTTACTATATAAACAACATATTTACATCAGAAATCACTAGGACAGTGGCATTTTTTTCACAAATATAAATTAATATTAATTACTGTTTTAGTCAACAGGTTTAAAAGTCCACATTTTTACAGTAAGAGTCCTTCTCTCCCCAGAGGGGAGGTGGAGGTCGGGAGGAAATGGGTGAAAGCAGAATCGTATTTTCCTGTGGATCACTTAAACTGTTCACTAAGAGCGCTGTTAAGTATCCATTTCGGTTGGGCACCACATCGCCTGTCCCCACAGCAGGTTTTGGTCTGCAGGATTTCCATCGTGTGAACTCACAACTTTTCACCATTTCCAAAGGGGTCAGGCTGAAAACCTCTTTTTTAAAAAATAAAACCCCAGCAAGATGCTACTTTTTCCTGCAAAGAGGCTTAGAGGGAATCCCGCAGCTGGTTCGGAATGAAGAGCTGTACCAGATGTTGACACAAACACCGCAGTGAGGTTTATGGCTGTGGGCCTGTCCCACTCCTATCCCACTCACATCCAAGTGACTGTGTCTAGTTATGGTCCCTCTGTTGCGAGGACATAAAAATGCATATGTGTTGTGTGTGCTCACGGAGGATTTTCTCCCACATCTAGGTCTCCAGGTTCATTAAAGCCAAACCCAGCAAAGACCCACCCACCATGAGTGAACAAAACTATATGACTTCAGTATCAGGCTAACATGACAACGGGGACAGCTCTTCAGTGGATACAGGTAAAGCTTTTGCTGTTGCACAAGGCGGAAATCCCACCCAACCTCATACCTGGAATCTGGGAAAGCAGAAACCCCCACATCTGGACACAGAAAATGCCTCTTGCTGGGGTTCAGAGTTTCCCTGCACCAACCGTAACACTGGTCTGGCCAGTATTGCCTTTTGCTACAAGTGTATGGCACGAACTTTCCATCATGATAGCACCGCTTGGTGAACAAAAAGAGCAATTCTCTTTGCCCCTCCGAGGTTTCTTCCATTTTCACATTAAAAGCTAATACCTCTGAAAAGAAAGGACCTCTTTGTTGAATACCACAGCAAGCGCACCTGCAATCACAGCTTAGTGAGAAACACCGTGGAAACATGTTATCTCAACACCTCCCATCACCTGGCAGTTCCACGGGAGACTGTGGAAGACTTGCCTTCACCTCCTCCTGCACAGGTAAACACAAGCGTAACACTTTCTCGGGGCAGCACAGTACCCCTAAGGAAGCAAAATTGCCCTGCATTTGGTGGAAATCTTGCAAAAATAAAAACAAAAGGGGAGGAAAACACTTCCCGGGTGTCCCGTTAAAGCAGTGGGCTCAGAAAGGAGTGAGTGATGACAGCAGATTTTAAGGGAAGCACGGCATGGAGGGGGGACATGGGGTTATTAGTGTCGCTTTGCGTGCGCCTTCCAAGGCGCTGGCTGGAGTCAGGAAGCCAGCCCTGAATACCCAGCTCCCCTCTGTCTTTCCGGGAAAAGGACATCACAGCTTATTAGGGTCAGATACTGGCATCTTAATAGCAGGCCCAGCTTCTGTCCCCCACCAAAAAGAGGAGTCTGGAACAGCCCGGTCTTTAATACTGAGCTCCAGGAGATGACACATCCCCGGACACCACGCTCCGGGCAGCCCGGCTGCTGGGAGAGCTTTGTGGTCTCCCGGGATGTGACTCTATGAACAAAGACCTAGGACCTGAAAAATAATCACCTAAACTACTTCTGGCCAGCAATCTGTGCACTCCTCTCGCCACACCAGTCTCCAGGCTGGACACTGCTCTGCATGGTATGCTGTGACTCACATACTTGGAAGAGCGCTTGCTCTACTCAAAGAGCAAAGTCTCAACTCCACCGAGCTAGGCTGTAGACTCCTCTTTTCTCTCTGACATCCTGGGCTCTTAAGACGTTTGCTCCAAGGATTTTCAAGGACCCAGTCCTGAATTCCTCATTCTCTCCCTGCTAAGTTAGGTGCTAAGCCCCCCGGCACATTTCCAATTTGGACAGACAGAAGGTCTTCCAGTGCAGGTACTTTTAGCAATTCAGAGTTAGTGCTGACCGCTGGAACGGTGGCAGGAAGGTGACCGTTCCCTGAACAGCGATCAGTCCACTGGATTCCTATTTAACTCTGCTCTACCATCCCTTATCTTTTGGTTACAGTAAAGATTTGCGATCAGTGTTTTGCAGAGTGGAGAGAGAAATGGCTTGCCCAAAGACCAGAGCACTTCAGTGGCAGGGAGATCAGGAGCTTCAGGATCCCCAGATGCCCAGAGCCATCTCTTGACCTTGAAGCTCTCAGCCAGCATCTGTTCATCCCTGGGCCATCTGAGCTCTCCATGTCAGAAGAGAGGAGGATTTTTATTATGAATTCCTGAGCCCTGTCCACTGGGAAATACTGTTCTCAACCCAATTTCTTTCCTACTGGTTTGAAGCGAACTAAGCCTTTGCTAAGGAAGTCTGTCTTTTTTTTTTTCCACATATCCCAAAGCCTCTCCAGAGTCAAAATTTGCCAATTCCAGCCCTGGAGATGGGAGGAAGGTTCCCCACACCTCTTCTGTTACAGGGGACACAACAGCAATCAAAGCAGAGCCAGTTTCTTGAAATGGATAAAGACATGAGAAATGATAATGTGGCCAGGAAAGTGATGGATTGTCACCAGCATGGCTCCAACTCCTTTGGAGTCACTCTGCAGGGACATCGAGTCCCTCTTTCAGCCAGGCTTGGCTGCTGAGGGACTCTCCTGCCCCTCCTTGAATACATCCTCCCATTGCCCTATGCTGGTTACACACAAAGCCCAGCCCAACCGGTTTACCCCCAGTCCTAAAGCAGCATCTATCACGTAACATCAAGTCAGAGCAGGCACACAGCCTTCTGCACAATCCTAAGCAGCATCGATCCACCTTCTTGGTTTGAGGAAACACTGGCTGGGGAAAATTCCCTTGGGTCCATCAAAATGGGGAAAACAAAAACAAAACAAAGAATGAGGCAGTAAGGCTGATTCCAGCGTTCAATGATAGAAGAGGGGAAACAGGAATCCAAACCAGAAACGAGAACTAGGGAAACATCTTCCTCCACCTACTCCCCCAAAATCCTCCTTGACCCAGCAAGATGATAGCAGCATGTTCAGAGTTTCTGGTTGCTGGCTTGGAGAAACCAGCCACTGTTGCATCAAACCAAGTATTTCAGATGTGCGCTTTCCCCCCTCGCAGTCACTTTATGTTTTCCTCATATTCCAGTTATAATCTGGATTGTTTTTCTGTTCTAATGACCTATCCAGAGGTGACCTGTGATCAAGAGGTGACTTGGAATCGTGGGGGGATTTCTGAGAGGGGGGTGAGCGAGGGTCCGACACTGCAGGGTGAGGTGGAGGGAGAGGCTGTTTGTAATCTCCCAGTTTGTCTGTGTGGAAGGACCGGTAGTGGTCCGAAGGTCCTTGGCCATGGTATCCCATGGGTGGCCTGTGATCAGACATACGTCGGAAATCCTGCTGGTGGTAGTTCTGAGGCCTGAACTCATCCGATCGTCGACGCTTGGAATCGTGGTGGTGCCTGCAGAGAGAAAACAAATGGATGGAGATCAGTTCCCCAAGGAAAGCCTGCCCACTGCGGCCGGGTGCATCACTGCAAACTCCTCCCAGCCTTTCAGATGAAAGGGCATTACCTGTCATAATAATCCCGGTGGCCTCGGTGGTCTCGGTCACTGTTGTACTGTTCATATGGCCTCTTGCGGGAGAGGTTATTTGGTCTGTAGTTCCCAGAGCTCCTGTGGGGCTCTCCACGAGATCGCCGATCCCCGTAGTGGTGGTCCTTGTACCAGTGCTGCTCATACTGGTGATGCCGCTCCCCACCCCACATCTGGTTGCTGTTGCCACCGTAGTTGAACTTTCGATCCCTCTGCCATTCTCCTCGGTCTGCAATGAGGAAAACACCAGTAATCATCTTTCATGCTTTAGTTTAAGCCCATTACTATGCAGAATTCTCAAAGAAATTATAACTATTGCCGTGCCTCTGTAATTTTCTCCTCCCTAAACTATGCGGGCCCAATTTTATTCTTTGGATTTCTTTATCACTATTCTAGCAAATCTTATTCTGTCCTGTTCTTATACTCTTTTTATCACTATATCCTCTTTTCTAGTCTGGCAATAAGTACAATATATGTGCCATCCCATCCCTTTTCAACCTGACCAGCCACAAGTCCCAGAAGGATTTCTGTCCAAGAGCAAACAGCCATTAGGTTAGAAGGGATGGTTTCTTCCAGCTTGCCAGCGCTCACCTGTGTTGCTGAAATGCCTCTTGTTTGGATGGCCATAGTTGTCACGTGGGTGCCCGTGCATCTGCTGCTGGGCGTGGGAAGGGGGCAGGTGGATCTTCTGGGAATGAGGATTGTGAGGCACGTGAGACTGGGACATCACAGAATCGCGGCTGGAGCCTGAAGGCTCTGGGCGGAATGGCTTCTTCATGCTGGACATGTCCTCCTTCTTCTTCTGCTCCTACAAGGGAGAAGAGAGGATTACAGCTTAACCACTCATCCACCAAAAGACTCAGACTATGTGAGCAACGGCCTTGTCTGTCAGGCCTAGGATTTTTCTGCAGATTCCTCATGCTGTGGGCCACCCAACTCTTTGAGGACTTGGTGAACCAACTGTGCCCAAGCATGGTATGAATGGCAATGGTACAAATGTGGTGGCACAGTTTTGCCCCATGCGGCTCTGCTTCCACATCCTATCTCTACAGGGCAGCACTCCCAGGCTTTTCACTCTAAAGGTCGACACAACACAACGTGCCACACCAAGAAATGCTTTTTCTTGGTCAGCACAGCCAGGACAAAGTGACCAGTGTTGTTAGGTGAAGGGAGAAATGCCACATGGAAGAGGAGGCAAATGCAACCAGATTGTTTAGATGTTAAGAGTATCACAGGCTGCCAACAACAACAAAGAAAGCCCATGAGATGAGGGGCAGAAAGTATTGACACTTCAAGTGCGACAACTTTTAAAGACAGCGAAGAGAGGGGGAAGACACTTCAGATCTCACCTCCTCTTCCTGCGATCTTTTCTTATGAGCCATCTTGTAGAGTTTGTGCAGTTTTCTGGCATCAAATTCTGTGAATTTTGACACAAATATCCATAGGTTCCTAGAAGGACATGAACATTTTCTGTTAATTGCTACATCAGCATTTTAACTACCAACTGCTTTCAAACCAACATCAAATCAGTTCTACCCTCTCTGGAAAACAGTCTCAACCCAGCTCAGGACAGGATGATCAGGAGAGCTGGAACCAAATTCTTCAAAGTAAAATAAAGATGTTTGCACTGGTTTATCTAAACTAGCTCTGAAATCAACTTAAGTGAAACCAGCAGAACTTTCACCTGAGACTGGTCATGGACTGAGTGGGCTACAGAACAGGTTAAATAAGAGGCAAATCACACACTTACCCACATAAAACCCAGAAGCCTCTGACCACCATTTTTAAATATCATAGACCAGCCAAAGAAAACAAAATGATCCCTGACCTTCTCCATAGCTTGATATGATCCTGGTCAGTGTAGGCTTTAAGGCACTCAGAGATGCGGTCCCCAATTTTTAGGAGGCAGTTGCGTGTGTGCTCCAGCTGTTCCTGAACCGTCAGCCCCTTATCAGGCTTATCGAGTTGCTTCAGTGCTTTTTTGACTGGTCTCATCCTCTCCTTGCACTTGAAAAAGCAACAGAGAGCAGAAAGCGATTAATTTGGCACAGGGCTTTACACTGTTCCCTTGTTAATCAGGCAGAGCTGGAAGAAGTTCATTAGCACAAGATATTAGCCTTATCTGACCATTAAGCAAGGAGAAATCAGCTATGAAAATAGCAATGTTAGACATGCTGCAGAAAATAATAAGGAAAACATGAGAGTCTCCCCACCTCCACTGCCCCCGCCTTATAGAGGGAAACAATTTGCTTTGCAAACCATAACCACACATGGTCTGCTCTTGTACTGATCCCACGGCAGGCAGGGAAGCGTAACTGAGCATCGACGTGCTGAACCAACAGCCCCAGCTGAATGAGTGCTCACTCAATAGCCTCCCTGTCCATCCCCATCTGCGGTCGCTTTAATCTATTGCTTTTACCAAAACTGGAAGACATCAGATGAAAGCACCATCTTTTTCAGCTGTGTACATCAACACTGCACACAGACAGTAAATCAGACAGGTTTCTACTGCCTGACTGGATCTTTCTAGTATCACAGAGGGAAAATTAAAGAAAAAAACACACAAAAACAACATAGGACCTGCAGTGAATACATAGATTTGCACTTAGAGAACTGTTTTTAAAAAGTGGTATTTCAGCATTTCCCTGTGCAAGTCAGGCCAAGTACAGTCTGCCTTGACAACTTTTACGAAAAGGCTATTTTTACAACAAGCCTTGCAGGCACGTTTGCTGCAAAAGCATTTACAGAACTAGGGAAGTGCTTACAGCTCAGACAACTCCGTACCTCCTACAGCCATACAAGGTCAGCCTCAAAACTCTCCTGTATTTCCCTGCCTGGAAGAGCCCAACTGGCTCCTTGGCTTCTACAGGAGATAGACTGCCACATAAGGCTGCATGGTCTTCTGTAACCCAGGACTGTCAAATGAGTGGTGGGAATTTATCAGCTGGAGAAGAGAGCCCTTCTGCATGCTCTGTTGACATGCTGCCCTCTTCTGCCCTGGCTGGCATCCCTGGCAGAGAGAGGGGATGAACACGTGCACTCATGCAAAGCTGAATTTTGGAGAGTTATCTGAACCCTTTAACAGTGCAATTGCTTGGTGAGAATCAGGAGCTGAAAGAGCTTTGAAGTTTCTTCCCGTTGAAGTGCCATTTACAGCAGCCAGCTGGTAGGCACTGAGGAGGCTGGTGGACAACTCTTGTACAGGGTTGTTCTGCCATGCTCTCAGATCGGCCAGAGGAAATCACTGTAGGGCACGAGGAGGGGGCTCACACCCTGACACCTGAAACATGTTCTTGGGTAACATGTAAGCAAACCCTGGCTGCCTTGCTGGGCTCTCTGCCACTGCCCTCCCACCTCCTGAGGAAAATACTCACTACGCTGAATGTTTCTTGGTCCAGATCATCATCCTCGTCTTCTCCAATGGGGATCGGTTCACTCCCTGCGGTAATGTGGACGGGACCTTGTGATCTCTTCCCTTTACTTCCAGATTTGCTTTCACCACCTTTAGGCTTTACAAGGACAAATTACACACATCACATGATGAGCCACATTGCCGGATCCCAAGTGATCCAACTAACAACCTCTGCAGTATTGTTACTGGCAGTTGTTAAACCCCGGGCACTGGTCCTACAACTTTCCTCCCAGGATCTCAAATGGTTTAGCTGCAATGCCTCTACTTCGCTTTATGTCATCCCTGAGGGAGTAGACAGAAGTCAGAGCCAACATTTTGGACACAAATACGATACTCATACTCATGGAGAGAAAACCAACGTTGAAGACTTGGAAGAGAGGTTAAGCTAAAGGATATATATCCCTTGCAAAGGACAGAGCTCAGAGCAGTCTCATTATCTACAGGGATCTGCAACTTCATGTGATGTCACTAGTCCTCACCCTCTAGAAAGTAACCTCAAATTATGGCCTGTTAGTGTAAATTCTGACTTATATGATTTATCTGCAGTCAAGATCCTCTAGAATCAAAGTCACGCCAAAAATCACTAGAAAGCAAACTTTCCCCTACATATGCAACAGAACTTCTTGGTTTGCACTTAGGACCTCAGTGTCAAAACACACTGGGCATACAGTACATACCTGTTCCTCGGACAGGTACTTCAGGTCATTATTATAGAAGTTTTTACCTCCCTTCCAATTTGAGCCCAGCCTCAGGGCAGTTGTACCCAAAATTCAAGGGACATTTTAGTCCACAACATACCACTGATGTTGAAACACTTATTCTGGTGAATCCTGAAGAGTGACAAGGACAACTTACAGTCTTGATGGTGTGGGCAGTTAGGTTATTTGGGGGGAGTTTAAATTAAAGGGGAATACAGACAAGGAGCTGCCAACCCTGTGATAAATCACAGCTGAACAGAACTTTGATCTGAATGCTCCAGGCTCTTCCTCCTTTCTTCCTTAACATCAGCTATTTGACCATTTTGCTGTCACAGGGACAGCTGTACTTTAAAGGCAGTCTGACAAAATCTCTTCCTTTCTGCTCACATTCCATCAAGCATTAGGATATATTGCCTTTTCTACTTTTTATCTCAATTCTTCACAATAAGAGTTCAGGAGGGCTGGAAAAGGGATAATACCTCACCCCACAGTGCTTCATTGATGTCTATTCACACAGGGCCTTTAATGAATCGTAAGTCTCATAGTTTGACCTTCTGGCTCAGAGACCTTCCCAACTCTTAAACTGCTCCTGAGAGTACCACATACCTTCTCTTTCTTGTCTTTTGTCTTCTTTTTCTCTTTATCACTTTCCTTTTCTTTCTTAGTGGTTGTCTGTTTTTCCTTGTTTTCTTTGTTCTCTTTCTTCTTCTGTTTCTTTTTCACTGGGCTCTTTTCCAAGCCATCCTCCTAGAAAATCAGTCACAGCACAGAGTTGGAGTCCCTCACCTCACGTACACTTTCTTCCATAAAACTCACATCCTTGAAACACGGGCCATTTTTGAGGTCCATCCAAATTTGCCCTCACACCTCTTTAACCAGACAGCAAGCCCTACTTAACTAGCTGAAATCCACCCAACCCTTGACAAAAGGGCATAAAAAAAATAGACAAGCCCCGGTCTGTAACCAGCTGGCAAACTGCAGATAAGCACTGCTTTCCTATGCCAGCTGCGCTCGAGAACGCTCAGCCCCTAAGGTAGATACTGATCAGCACATGAACAAAAAGCCTTAGACTACAAGCCAAACCACTCAAAGACAGAAGGTTTTCTAAGCAAGAGCATGACCTTGGTAAACTCCAGCTTCACCACTGGCTGACGTATTGAAAAGGAGAGGGAAACAATTCTTCTTTCTCTCCTTTATAAGGGCAACAGACTTTGTCCTGAGACAACCTTTCCTCCAAGTCAACATGTGGATGGATGTGTGTGGCCATTCTAGGATCCATCAAACACTTAAAGCACTAACCTAAAAGAGTGGGTGGGACAGGTCCTCCTTTCACCCCAGCAGCTGCATATGTTTTTGTGAACTTGCCAGTCTCCTGGGGGAATGCACTCTGTAGTGCTCCCCGACTCCACGGGGCATTTGCTAGGGGTGCTTCTCAAGGTGAGATTCTGCAGTAACATAGCTCAAGGAAACCTGAAAAAGCCGCTATCCACCAAGTTGACTCACCTTGACTTCACCTTCTTCTGACTGGTTGTCTGAGTGCCGAGGAGAGGAGAGTTCATTCCCATGCTCATCTTTGACTTTGGGAGCCTTGTTCTCTTTCTTTACTCGTGGTTTCCTCTTCTTTAGCTTGCCCTGGTGAAAACACAGAACAAGTCAGGGCAAGCAAATAGCTGTAGCTACTTCCTGGGGACATACCCCATCTTCTGAACATCCTGCGAACAGCTACAGGTCTCGCAGGGTGGCAAGAAGCCTCATGAGCCCAAGTCCTTCACTAAGTGTAATAATTACCTGCCCCTTACTAACTACCACTTCAGCATCACAATACAATCAGACAAAAGACAAGTCCATATTCTTCCATGCTGATGACATTCGGTGATCTGGGAACACAGGCTGTCTCCCGCCATCAGCTAACCACTCATTCTGAAACCCCCAGAATCAAGCAGCCACATCTCACCTCTTCCCCATCTTTCATGTTTTCTTTCTTGTCCAGATCTTTCTTCAACAGTTTCAGTAGATAATCAACTCTGGTCTGGAGCTGTTTTCCCTGAGGTTTCTTATCTGTCTCTACAGGTAGGATCTTTGATAAAGAAGAAAAAAAAAAAATTACACCCACATGCACCTATCAAACCTTGACAAGAGAAATACACACTAGCAGCAGCCCTTTCAGGCCCAGCAATGGGTTGGAGATGCTGAACCTTTTTGGGGGGAACAAGAAAGTTCAAGCATTTCTTCCAGCTCCCACACAACAAAAACAAAAGTGGAGCTCCTAACAAGCATCCCTCTCCTAGGCCTTTTGTAAAAGTGAAAGAGCCCCAAGGCAGCACTCTGGATTCTTGATGATCTTTCTTGTAAGTACACAAAAAGAAAGAAAAACTTTGCAAACTATATTGGGATCTTGAGTTGCAAAACTGAGTCCACTCTCCCCGATACATCAGATTTGTTTGTAGCAGCTTTGTCACAGCAGGCTGGTCCCCTCTGGTAATCCAAGACATTGTTACAGCAATGATACGGACGCAGAATTTCTAGCAGAAAACAATGCTGCAAGGTGCCACTTTGTGGAGGAAGCATCTCAGTTTGCCAACTAGGTTACCTTCATACTTCACTGGAAATTGGCTGGTATGTCTCAGGCAATTGTTTCCATCATAAAATGCCTTTCTGAACTTCATGTAGGAGGGCTCTCAGCCACAGTCTGATCTTTGCTAAACGCACTAGCGGGGATGTCATGGGAATGTAGCGTATTGGCAGCAAAGCCAGTGTAGAGATTCTCTATGTTCCTCAGCCCTGTGTTGCAGCTCATTCTCCTTCCATTGTGCTGACACAATGGATAGCGGCTTATTTTTAACCTGGAACACTTCAACACGGTCCCCATAAACAGTTCTTATGGGAATGACTGAAGAACAGCGGAACTAGATGGAGGCTTTCCATCTGGCTTTGCTGCCGTAGCCAGTCATGTAACTGTACCCTCAAAGCTAACAGAGCAGTCTTGACATAAGCAGTGTCAAATCTGTGAGAAATTATTTCCACACAGAAATTCAGACTCAGCTTCTTGTGAGATGCTCAAGGAAATATCAAGTCACGATTATGCAATGCACTCTACCCTCTACACTGTGCATGTAACCACACATTAGCATTACCATTTTCTTCCTGCATCATTTCGGTGTGGTTCATATGGTACTGCTCAGAGAAAATTTACTGGTAATCAAATAATGCAACTCTGCTTTCCATCAAGCATGCAACATTCCATGGAGGTCACTATTTTCCTCATTATTATTTATTATTATTTTTGGAGTGGTTACAAACACAAACATCTGTTTCTGGAGTAAATCAAACGTTCTCTGTGAACACTGTAATGGACTCAATGCAAGCAACAAGCAAAGTGACTTACCTTATCAGATAACTTCAATTCCGGATCTGTTTTAATTAGCTCCCAGTTTCCATAACCATGCTCATAAATTCCCACTAACAAGCGAGAATCCTCTTCCACTCCCCAGTCTACATCAAAATGGGCAGCTTTGACCCGGCATGTCAGGCGGTACCTGAAGGCATTTAAAACATGAGCTACTTTTAGTGCTGGGGAGGATAAAGCAAACCCACATATCTAGGCTGTTCTCTTTCTACTACAAAATCCAAATTCCCCGAGCCTCTTTCTGCATTTCCTACTTAGCCAAACTCACTTCTTCCTTTCCTCTGGGTCTGTGGGAATGGATTTATGCAGCATTTCAAACTCCTCTTCATGCTGGATGATGGATTTCACATTGACTTGGACACCAGAAATCTTGATGGTAGGACCTCTTCTTTTTCCAGGTCCTTTCCCTGCTCAACAATAAAACACAGCAACTAAGAGAACTCTTGCAGAAAGAAGTACCTCTGTGAAATGTCTAGACAGACAGAAATCAAGACCTTGCCCACAATCTCTTATTTAAATGTAAGGCTGTCTGCTAAGGCAGGCCCAAAATATAAGTTTTCGTTTACTAACTCACTTAGATCTGCAATCCAAACACCTTCCAGTATCATTTTCTTAAAAATACATCTAAGTACACCAGAGCTGTTGCTTCAGTAGTTTTGTTCAGCTGCAACAGGCAGAGGCCCAGCAGGAAATCCAGCCCAGACCCCTGTATCTCCAAACCAACAGCCCAGAACAGCCCTACATGGAGTAGTTGATGATGACAGCTCTGGGAAGTGCTAATTGTGGATCCAGCTTTACCACGCAGTATACAGCACCAGTTTGATTCCCAATCCCAGGAGCACTTAAAATATGATCTGCTTTGCCTTGTAGCCTAGCATTAAATAAGCTAATTACTTCAGCCTCTCCCTATGAAAACTCATGTTCAGCAGAAGCCAACAGACCCAGATGGCACTTTCCAGTCTGAGCAGAAGACTCAGGGGTTTCTCTCCATGGGTGAGAGCTGCCTGGCAGAGATGGGATGGTTTCAGCGTGTGCTTGTTCTTTACTTTTAAGTCACAATGTGGCACGCCTCCCCATCCAGCAAGGGAATGTATTTCTCACCAGCTCCATGGAACACCCCCAAAACCATCATCACAGCAGCACACAACCCTCTTGCTTACCTTCACCTGGATTTTCTTTCAGCTGCTCCTCGTATTCTTGCATTGCTGACACACAGCTATTGTGGATGAGTTCTCCCAACCGTTTCAGATCAGCCACAGACTTATCCACCAGCTCAGCATCCCGGGCAATACACTCCAGCCTGGGAGACAGCAAAAGAGTTGTGTATTTGATACAGCATACCTCCTCCCAGTCACTTCCTGAGCAATTGTTTCATAGCTTTTAGTAGTCAATGCTGTATATGTATAAATGTATAAAACCTGCACGAGTCTAGTTCAACACAGTTTTAGTCTTTTTTTTAGGTCTAACAGCTGCAGTACAGTGCAGATGTAGTATAACCGATTGAATCCTTTGGAATTTTTAGTATTAAAGCAAAGGTGGGACCTGTCTATCTTGGGCACGACAGAAACCCTCTGTGACTGTCCAGTGTTCCTTCCTGCTTTCTCAGTTCCATCTAACTCCATCTGATGGTCAGAAGCTGCCATCTGCTGCCCCTTGTGCCTGGCTGAAGTTAGTAACGTCAAGGCCCATACACGAGCCTTGTGTTTCACAACAGAAAAGTACAACCAGCTGAAAAAACAGTGTCATTTCTCATACCATATATGCAGGGATCCCTGCCCCAGCTCTGAGACCTCAGCAAGGACTACAGCTTTCCAGACCCAGCTCACGTACGCATCTCCCTTCCTCCTTCATTTACCCTGGGTCCCAGTACTCGTGCAGGGCTCTGCGGACCCACGCTGGAGGACGGCGTGTGCCTCAGGGATATGGCAGCAAGAGAAAGATGCTCCGAGTTCAGTCTTGAAACTAACATGCATAGAGAAACTTGGCGAGCATTTTGGACAGCATTTGCTGTTCAGACAGCTGCTCCTTCTCCTTTCTAAGCAGAGTGGAAATGCCCCAAGGGCCAGGCTCTGCCAGCAGGATGATGCTGTGTACAGCCCGGCGCCACTACTGCTCTAGCTGATTTTTGGCCAGCATTCATCAGCACCCACCAACTGAGACATGAGGGACTGTATGACTTGGGTTACTGATCACACGGCAGCGAAGCTTTGTGCTGTCCATGGAGGTTGTATCAAACACGCACAGCAACTTGTGTATGACTGTGCTTAGAAACACAACATCCCCCTGCAATAACCCTCTGGAGCAGGGCCAGGTTGGGACTTACCGTTCAAGAGGCAGTCCAAACTTCTTGTAAGCCTTGATAAACCTAAGCAAAAAAAAAACAAACAAAAAAAAAACAAAAAACAGAAACTAAATCAACTGCCATAAAAAAGTGGGTCCAATATCACAAAGGCACTTCAATATATTAATTACAGCCTGCCACATTATCAACCTTGCATTCCACACTGATTAGCTAAGCATCACTCAGGACTGGAAAGCCTAATCCATTAACGCCCACAAAGAGTTTTGTGACCTCGGCTGGAGAAGAACACAACATTATTATGTATGTTGGAAGTTTGGCAGATGAGGAAAAAAAAGTGGAGAGTCATAACTGTAGTGTAAAAAAAAATTGAAAGCAAGCACTGGCTCACACCATGCTGGTAATTATTAACTTCATTTTTCCAAGAAGAAAAGAAGCATTAAATCAACGTCATTAGTGATTTTAATGCTCAGGCTATAAGTGTAACAACCCATCAAAGAAGAGCCAAATGTGGTGTAATCCATCACAGAGGTTTGCAGACAAGTATTGCTATTTATTTTTATGTCTTATTTTTATTGTGAAAGTCTCTGCCATGGCTGATGCACAACTTTAGGGCAAGAATCAGACACCGTTGCTGCAACTGAACAGTGCCTTGTGCAGGAGTAGACCCAGTGGCTTCAACTATAGATTATTTTTTAAATTAATTAAGCTTTTCCCTCCTCTCCTTCATCTGGTGCTCTTTCAGCTACATCACAATAACCTAAATGGCTGCTATACTTCACACTGCAACACCTCCTTCCTGCTCTATGGTTTTAGGGCTGGATATGGGGCAGCTACCAATCTGAAAAGTCTGACCATCTCTTGTTTAAAAATACATCAACTCAGAGGGGGAGAGAGAGTCAAGGAAAACTCACAATCCCCTCTTTTCCACCTTTGGCTGAACATCTGGGCAGAGCCATAAAACAAAGATCTTTGGGAAAGGCTCAAGAGTTAGAAGATACAAGAAGAAAATAATGCTCTGGAATTCAGCCCATAGCTGACTTCAGAGGCACAGTGCAGAAGAGGATACGCAACTACTGGGATCAACAGGACCAGTGCTTCTCATGGGATTATTTTGCTAGAGCTTGCCTTTCACTTAAAGCTTAAACCAGCAGCACTACTGCCAGAAAAACGTCAGAAAGGCCAGAGTCCTTGGCTTCTCCAGCTCTGTATCTCATGGTACTTAAGACCTCACGTGTAACATGGAATTAGCTCAATTCACTTGGCCTAGGAAGGGCAGTTACAACAAGGATTAATTTTAGGAAGGTATCAGCTTCAGGGCAGCCTGACTAAAGACAACCCAGTCCATTTTGCACAGACCTGAATCTTAAGGTCCTCAGCTGGGAGCAAAATGAACTATACAAAGATGCAGAAGTCAGCCAAATGAACCAGCTCCACCTAAAACAGTGAGGTGCTTACAGATAAACACCTCCTGGACCAATCTGGGTTTTTCTCCAGCCGTATTGGATTTCTTCATTTTTTTGTGCTCAGAACTGACCTCCTGATTTCAGCATCAGTAAATCCTTCCACAGTATCTTTTCTAACACTCCGAGGACGTCCCCTGCGCTTTGGTCTCTTCTCGTCATCAGTATCATCAGTCTCGCTTTCTGATCCAGATGATCTCTGAAGCCTCCTCTTAGTTTCTGCATCTGATTCACTGTCATTTGTCTGAGCCTGTGTGTACCAGAAAAACAGCAGTACAGTTAACAACTGCTCATCTGCCAACCTTTTCTGTCCCTCCCATACAGTAGTTCTATTTCACGTTCAGACTGTAAAGATCTCTTCCTGAAGGTGCAGAAGATAACGTAATCAACACAGAGAGGCTGCACATCCTTGCAGTTTCCAGCTAGCCAAGGCTCTGGTGATCATTGTCCCTACAGAGCCTTCTAGCCAGCAGTTTCACAATCACATTTTGATTTACTTAGGTATAAGATATATTAAAACGTATTGATTATCATGGTTTTGTGCCACAGTCCCTCAGACTGTTTTGAAAACCAGGACACTTCAGAAATGAATCTGTAATCATCGGATACAAGCTATCCTTCTCTCCAGTTTTCACTTTAATGTTTTTCCCCAGCTCATCCCAGAAAGCAGTTCATAACCCCTTAAAGTTCCATATTCCAGAAGAGCTTCCTTGCACAGTCTGCTTTCTGTTGGATTGGGGTAGATCCCATCACCTAAAAAAGAGCTTGGGAAGACACCATCTCTTTTGCCTGCAAGAGCCACATTTAGGCAAGAGCAGCCCAGGAAGCTAGAGAGCCCAAGGGAAAAAAAGAAGTCAGACAGTGGCATAGACCGCAGTAAAACCTGCATCATACAATTGGATATTTTGCCCTGTCCTCACTACAGGTTCCCTTTATTCTGTCTGCTAAGACAAGATGAGTCAATACCAAATCCAATACAGGCCCTCACACTGCATTACAAACCATGGGCCCAATGCGTGAGGCCAACAAGAGCTCAATGTGCTATCTCTGGGCTTTACTCCTAACTAACTTTGGAGGTGGGAAAGAAGCACTCCGATGGCAAGAAGGCTTCCCTGGAGTGTTGCCTTTGCCAACTCTTGCCTCCTGCCTCTCAACTCCCCGAAATGGGCTGTACCTTTTTAGTTGAGCTCCGAATTCGAGGCAGCATGTAGATTTCCTCCAATTCTTTCTGCCTTTCTTCCTCTTCCACCTTCTTCCTCTGCTCCTCTGGAATGATATCGTCCCAGTCCTTCTGGGACCGCTCGTCCAGCTCCGTCTCTTCCTCCTCCATGGTTGCAAAGTTGGCCACCTTTTATAAGCAATGGAACACTTTTAGAAACTCCCTCCCCTGGCAGGAATACCCCAGAGCTGTCTGCTAAGCCTCAACTCCTTCTCCATAGGAATTTTGCCAACATTTCCACAATTACTTTATAATTGATCCCTATGTCACTACATTCCTGGTTCCTTGCCATGTCTTTGAGCTTACAGCTTTTGAGGAAGTACGTGCAGTTTAAGAAGTACTGCTGAGCCTCTGTAAGTTATTGGGTTTGTTTCCAAATTTGGTAAATTCTGCATATTCACAGCCTTCAAAACCACTTACTTGAAATTAAATTAATACCTACCTATCTCCCCGGCTACCAAACCCAGACAACCCTTCAGCAAACTGCTTTCTACAGCTCACCTCTCACCAGGTCTGATTTGTCCTGTCTGTTACTGACCTAACTACTGCGGCAAGATGTGGGGAGCCAAAATCCTGCACCCCACTCCAGAGCTGGGGGGTCCGTACCTTGAACTGAGAGAGGAGCTCATCGGTGGCACTGGTGGACACTTCATTCTCTCGTGTTTCAGCCAGTCGCAAAATCTCATCGATGTCCATCTCCTACCAGTCACAAAGAAAGAGTGATAAAGCGGACGGTGTCGAGCACAGCAGGAAATATGAAGCTTTCAGAACAGACTTGTGGGGTGCAATAGCTAAACACACACTGTGCTGATATGAGCTAAATAAAGTGCAAATATCTGCTGGGTGTCATCACCGAGGGCAGGGATGAGCTATCTCAAGTGGTACAAAAGAGTAGAAATAAGGGTGATAGGACAGAAGAAAAGGAATATCAAGGCTGAGCAGCAGGGAAAATTTCCAGACAGTGAGATATGTTAACTGTGAACTGTTTCCCTCAGGGGAAGCCCTGCTATTTGTGCCATTAAGAGAACTGGTCAAAGCACTCAATACTAAACTGTCAAGCCATGCTGCGCTGAGGCAGGAGAGCAACCTATCTGACTTCACTGTGCTGACTCCCTCCTCTTTATGACAGCAACCAAAAAGGGATGTGGAAGGTGCTCAGAGGAGGCAGGGAGATGAGCTTTCAGCAGGCTGTGCTATAACTAGCTAATGAATCCTCGGGAGCCAAGGGACTCTCTTGGTGACCGTTACCATACAACCCCTGAAAACGAGGCTCTCCTCAACCCCCTGACCCCCCAACCCCAGAGCTTCAGCTTCTCCAGACTCACAAGTGCCCTATTCACCAACCTAATCTCATGCACAGGGAAAGTACAAAGAGGGAGCAAACACACACGATCCCCCATGCAGACCTGCAGAGGACTACAAACAGCTACGTGATTTCAATTTCAAACTACCTGAGGCTCTGACTCTTCCCCTTCGAGTTCCTTGAAGAGATCTTCAGCTCCAAACTTCAGAATAGCTGTCAGCTCCTCTTTGTTGAAAGGATTTGAGCTGCAAACACAAACAAGAAGGAAAATGTGTTTTGAGCTGTTAAGTCAGCACTGCTACAGCACAAAAGCATACCAAAATTTTTCCTAATTAAAGCAAGGAGTAAGTTTTCTACCCAGCGCTACAAAAGCTTTTTTATTCATCTCCTTCCTGCTCTAGCACAGACAACTACTGTAAAGGAAACAACCTCCATCTACTGGGGAGAAATGGGGAGAGTCTGAGGTCACTGTCAAACTGCAGCTGCTGTTCCATAACCACCACCAGGTTCCCTCAGACCAGGATGATCTCTGGGAGGAAGGCAAGGAAAACCAAGCAGTGCACTAAAACTAGATTTTTATTTCTGATCATCATTATGTGTCCAAATTAATGGTTTCATAAGCCAAATCAGTGGTAGCTGCAACTATTTATTAGCCTTCTGCCCTGTACCCTATCAAACAAATGTTGGTAAATACCAGCAGGTGAAGCTGGTTATGCCACATGCTGTCCCAGACGTCTCTGCCTCATGACACAATCACTTACTTGGATCGCCCAGAGTTGTTGTCCAGAACAGTCCGGCCAGTGGTGTCCATACGCTGGATCACCAAATGATCCAGCACCATTTTCTTCTTGGCCCTCTCAATGATTTCCTCCTCTACTGTACCCTTTGTGACCAGGCGGTAAATATTCACCTGAAGGGCAAGAAAAAAACAGAGCTATTTCCTGGACGTGAACATGCTCTGCTGACAGAGTGATGCATCGCTCAGTGGTTTCCCAGCAGACTACTCTGCTGACATGGTCCCTTAGACCCTTAGAATAAAAAACATCGCATACTTCTTGTATCTCAAGCAAATCAGCTAAAATTGGGCTGGTTAACACAGATCCTGCAGTGAGCACAGAGTAAAAATCTTCTGAGACAATCCATCTAAATCCAAACTAGCACCAAACTTTTCACATACCTAATAAAACCCTAGTAAAGGTGGATGTTCTACTTTCCAAGATTTTCAGGGCAAGAAAGAACAGAGTCCACTAGGCTGAGAAGTGCGATGCCACAGGCTGGGTTCTTGGTTTTGAACCATGCCGGGATCCAAAGCCAATAGAAAGACCTGGCATCTGGCAAATTTGGGCTGATTTTTTGTTTCCTGGATTTTAAATGAGCTTCCCTTGAGTTGGCAGTACTCTCTGGAGTCAGGACTGGGGTCAAAAAGACCATGTTTTCAGAAGCTCTGGTGAGGTGGGAGCCCATTTAGATGGCCACACTGACACCACACAGAAAACGACCCAGGTAGCTCTTCTGACCTGCTTCTTTTGTCCAATCCGGTGAGCCCGAGCCTGAGCCTGAAGATCATTTTGGGGGTTCCAGTCCGAGTCAAAGATAACAACAGTATCAGCAGAGGCCAAATTAATTCCCAGCCCTCCAGCTCGTGTTGACAACAAGAAACAGAAGTCCTGGGGGAAAGAAAAAAAGCATCCATGAGTTAGTCAGCCTGTAACTGTGGACATAAAATAGCAGTGGTGACTTCAAAGACGTGCAAGGAACTGGAGGGGAGGGCTCTGCTGCACTCGTGCTTCTTAAGAAAGTAGAAAAAGGATTTCCTTTCCACATCCCCTGCTCATGCAGGTTCACTACCGCTGGTCTTTAAGCCGAGGCACAAGGTGAGGTGGTGCTGGCAGGGGTGAAAGGTGTGCTATTCTAGAGAGGGCCCGGCATGCATCATTATGAGAGATCAAGGCAAACAGCTCAGGGCACTTCAGAGTTGCTTTTGAAGGTCAGACCATGCTGCCCACCTGACTCCTACAAAGGCAGTGGGCAAACACATGCCTTTTGCTGCCTGAAGCCTGCTGGGGGTGAGATCAGCAACTAACAGGCTGAGTCACTCCCCCAAGGGAATGGGGTGCCAGATTAGAGCCAGGATATCTGAGCTCCCATGGATGCTCCCAGGAGAGGGGGGAAAGGGCAGCTTCTGTGGGCATTCCTGCTCCTTTCCCACCCATACTGCTGTCCCCCTTTTCACCTTTATTTGTTACTTTTCCCACTACCATGAAGCACTGAGCTGTATCTCCTGTGTCAGCCAAGATTCCCACCCCAGTCCAGGCTTCTGGAGCAAGGACAGGTATTTCTCAAGGCTGGGCTGACTGTGGCACAGAACAAGTGCCTTGCACCAGTCACTGTGAGTCAGCAAGCCCAGACGAGAGGCTTGAGATGCCCTCTCCTATTACGCTGGAGACTTTCACCTCCACACCAGACACCACTGCCTGCTAGAGACTTAAAATCCCCCTTTCGCCTCGGCCATTTCATATCCAAAACCAGTTTCAGACTGGAGGAATTGTTTAGGAACCATCTCATTAGTCAGACCACGGGGAAAGAATTGCTAAATTCTGGCTATTCCCATCTTCTTTGGGACTTTCTGGAGATGCGACTTGCAGCCCTGTCCTTTGGATGTGGGAGATTTAAAATAAGCAGTATGTCTAGTTGCAAAACCTGCTATGTCTGTGTCTTTAAAAGTATCTGGGGTCCTGTAAAAAGAAATGAACGGAACTGATCCCCCCTCTTGGCAGTCACCACCTGTGGCTGAGCCATCAACGCCCACTGCTCGGGCAGCCCACCCGGACCCTCCTGCGGCAGGACAGCCCCAGCGGCCGTACCTCGGAGCCGTCAGCGTTGAAGTGGTCCAGCGCCTGCTTTCGGATCTCCCCTTTGATCGAGCCGTCCAAGCGCTGGAAAAATCAACAATAATGATAAAAGAAAGAAGGTAAAGGAGCCCTGAGGAACTGCTGCACCCGAGTTCTGGGAACCCTACAGCTCCCTTTCCCTGCCTGGTGAGTTTAATAATTAAAAATAACCGCCAATTAAAAATAACTGCACTGCCTTAGCCTGCTGTGTCGTGAGGACAAGAGGAGGGTATGCTCAGGCAACAGTCACACAGAGGGTGACACTGTGGCTCCCATTACAGGCTCCCAGCCAGGGTCTCTGCATTTGCTATCCTCTCCTCGGGGATGAAGGCCAAAGCAGGGGCCTGTCACAGGAGGTATTTTGTAGAGGCTGGGCCACACTGAAATGAAGGGACTTCCCAGTTCCCGCCAGTGTATTTCAGTAAATGGAACCTGTAATCCCAGCCCCCAAACTCTGGGAATCTCAGTGACTCCCACTGCCCATGATGCCTCTGCGTGTTCCTCAAATTTTCAAGTGAACCCCGCTGTTTTCCATGCTGATGTTTCTCACCTGAAACGGGTAGTGTTTGATAGTCAGGTACTCTGCCAAGATGTCCAGCATCCTCACCATCTGGGAGAAGATCAGCACTCTGTTGCCTCTCTCCCTCAGTCTGGTCAGCAGCTTATCCAAGAGAATTAGCTTTCCACTGCTCCTGATCAGAGACTGAAGAAGTAACCGTCATTCCAGCTGATGCTTTCCAACCTTACCCTTACATACATTACAGAGAGACATGCAGAGATCTGGTTCTTTCAGGCTCATGCTTCTCCCTTACATCTCTAATCAAATCATCCGGATTTACACAGCACAAGCCACACACAAAAAGAATCATCCAAGGTAGATCTTATATTGCATGCAAGTCCCACTCTAGATGGCCACAAAACATTGCCTACAGTGGAAGAGGAGGGCTGGAGATTCAAGTGGGTTAGCTGTGAGGACTATTTCTAATAGAGGAGCTGCAGAAGCTAAAGCTTCACCAGAAGGTGGGAGGACAGAAGAAAGAGGGAAGTTAAGGAAAAAGGGTGGTAACAAAAGACAATGCCCACCTGGAGGGTCTCAAGGCCATTCTCTCTCTCATTTTCCTCGGGAGGTTTGATAAGGTAGCAATGGTTGCAGCACTTTTTCAACTCCATCACAATGTTCAAGAAACCAGATGTGCTCCCCCTTGTTCCCTTTGAAAGAGCTTTGTAGTTTCTCGTCAAAATCCACCTGCAGGCAGGAAAATGCGAAGTCCAGATCATCTCACAGTGTAGAGTGGGTATGCTGGAGTCTTGGAGAAACAGAACCTCCAGGGACATCTTGTTCAGGCATCAATCTACTTCCCTCCATCCACCTATCTTCACTACTTCTTCAGGATACTGCTGTTTCCTTACTAGAAACCCTGCTCTTACTTTCCTACTCATATTATTACAGTTTAAAATTAAGCAGCACCACAGTTTTGTGGGGAGCTTTACTCCCCTAGGAAAGACATAGCCTCTGTCCTGCAAAGCTGGCCAGCTAAATTGTATCACTCTACAACAGCAACTCCAGTGGTCTGGAGATGTTTTTTTAGAAGGCAAGATACCAACTACCCTACCTCAGATTCCCACTGGGAAGCTCCTGGTACTACAGGTGATGGCTGTCACATTGCACTCTGCAGGACACAATACACTGAAACACATTCCCAAGGCACATAGAAAGGTGTGCCCATTTCTACTGGCACTCCCAGTAACTTAGTAAATGACTCACTTGTAATACTGTTTCTGCAAAGCAGACATTTCCACGCGGAGGATCTGCTCCACTTTGGCTGGCAAAGATTTCTCCACATCCTTCTTCACTCTGCGTAGGAGAAACGGCTCCAAGACTTTGTGAAGGCTCTGGTAGCCATTCTCTCTACCTTTCCCGTGATCCTCTTCAAAATCCTCCCAGAACTCAAACCTAGCAACAAAAAAGAGCAGCAGAGAGGGGTCAGAATACCTCTTGTCTTATCACACCAAACAGCATCTATCATATATGTTCCTGCTGCACAACAAGACAGGAGATCATCAACTTAACAGCGATACAGTGGAGGATAAAATGTTCACTCTGTTCTGGCTGACTAAACAGATTGGTGGCAAAGCTAGAAGCTCTCTGGGCTTAGGTGCCTTCCTAACATCTTATCTTTGAGCTCCACACTGACTCCCAGGACCCAAAATTCCAAGTTTCCCAGTATTCTGCTCTGCTGTCTCCTGCTGGCATTTGCCTGGCAGCAGTTTCTGAACTTTACACAGTCCCCTCACCTAGTCAGGGCTCTGACAAATGGACTGTCTTACACGGCTCTGGAGGCTCTTTTGGATTGCTGCTTCCTCCAACAGCTCCTTTGAAATGTGGAGATCAGCTCTTCTCCTCAAACATTTCTTTTACTCTTTCTGTGATCCAACAAAAAGGATTTGGGAGACAGCTCTTTTTGCAGTTAAACATAATTTTAGTGAGTTTTGGGGCATGCTTGTCTTAGCCTTAGCAATGCACATAGCCCATTTTGTTTTAAAGAAAACAAAACATTTGTAATAATGTGGATACATGAACAATCAGATAGACAGCACCATCCTTGAGCAACACTCCCAGAGACTGACATAAAATTGTTGGTGAGGGTGGTTGAACCGCAATGCACTGGAAACCTCAGAAGTGGTTGAGATGATTCTTGAAACAAGTTTAGCTTTTTAGAGATGGCTCTAAGACAGCAGACAGATTTGAAAGGCATGTATTAGGTTTCCCCATTCAACTTGCTACTGGAAATACTACTTGCATTAGTCATTTAACCTCTGATATTCCCCACCAACGTTTGTTCCCCCTTCATTGCTCTAACTCCACTGAGTTTAACTGAGAGATTTCTGCCATTCTGCACTCCCTTGAGTCTATTTAATGGACAAAAATGGACAGAGAGGTATTTTTTGAAGGACTAAGAGGAGACTTACTTCTCTGGCATGATGAAATGAAGCAGCGACCAGAGCTCTTTGAGTGAATTTTGAAGGGGGGTGCCAGTGATCAGCAGCCTGTGGTTGGACTTGAAATCAATCAACGTTTTATACAGCAAAGAGTCATCATTTTTCAAGCGATGGGCTTCATCCACGCCTAGAAAGGCCCAGTTAATACTTCCTAAAACAGCCTGGAGGAAAAGAAGGAAAAAAAAAAAAAAAACAGGCCCCAAGGAGATGCTGGGTCAGACAAGCTCCATCACCTTGCACACTCCCCCCTCTCCACGGCCACAAAGCACTGCAGTGTGTGCTTTCCAGGATGTCCAGCCCCAGCCCTGGTGCCAGGCCCACCACCAAAGGAGCTGGGCTCACAAGAGTTTCTTCTTAACAAAATATGGGGACCAGTATGCCTACACTAGTTTTGCCTCCCTGGAAAAGAGAAAATTAGCCATGCTGTAGAGCACTCCTGCCATATCTAAATAAGTCTTTCAGCAAGTATACCTATTTTAATCCACCTTTGCCTTACCCAGAAAACACAGTCCTCCCCCAGATCCCTACTCCTCCCCTCCTCCATGCCCCTGGGGCCCTTCTGTAGTTCTAGGCCCACTGGAGCAGCAGCAGGAGAGCAGACAAACAAGCCTATAAAGTAATCTGAGAGTTTTGATTTTTTTTTTTTTTTTGCATTAGTATTAAGCTTTCTGTTTTCTGCTAGGACTCAGTGATGTACTGACAGGGTTGATGAGCATTTCCTAAGCAGACAGATTTCTCATAAGTGCAAAAATCCAGATATTGTTAACACTGGGACCAGTAGTTCAGTATAGTGTTTTGTCCTCTTACCTAGCCTAAATTAAACCAGGTAAAATCCAGCTACTGCCCTGTCTGGCGTCTTACAAGTAAAAAGAATAACACAACTGTGCAGTACAAGAGTAAAGACATCCTAACGGGTGTCCCACATCCCTCTGCATTACTGGTAAGCAAAAGCAAATAGTAGCTATATGGTCTCCATCACCACAGATGAGAGAGGTGAAACCCACTAGCTGAGGGTTGGCTTTCCCCTTTGCAAGCAAGAGAATGTCTAAATAAAAACGTCCTTGAACCATTATTCACCTTATCCTTGAGGAGGATCTCGTATGTTGTGATAAGTGCATTGAATTTCAACCTTTTAGACTGAGCGTGGATCCACTCATATTCACGTATCTGCGAGAGGAGACAAATGTTAACTTCAACCCATGTTATCAAAAGGAGAGTTAACAATTGTTATTTTAGTGTAGCTATAGCCAGAGACTCCAACAAAGTCCAAAACCCTGCTGTTCAAGGAGCCATTTCATGAGCTCAGTGTACCCAAGGAGCAGCTTTTTCTAGTGCACATGTGGTTCAACTGCCCTTGCACAGGTAACAAAATGAGGTCAAACAACTTGCTGTTGTGACATTACCCTCATCTGCCAAATGAATGCATCACCTCACTGTTGACGTCACGGGACTCACAACATTTAGGTGCTTTGTCGTCTGAATAACTCAGAACGTAGGAGGCAAGCACTTTTACATTCCTATGCTCCTATCCTGCAGCATGTTTCAGCCCAGCACAGTAGTGGTTTCCAGACTGAGAGAAGCCAGTACTCCTGTGCTCACTCTAAGAGGGGAAATAAGGTGGAAAAGTCCCTGCAGCAATGAATGGTGCCCAGGTGCTCAGCTGCACCAGCTCTAGCTGCCTGCAGTACTGCCAGTACTACCCGCCAGCCTCTCCGGCAGAATGTGTGTCACACGTTACACAGAAGCTGCTGCTTTGTACCCAGCGTTTCGACCCAGCCCCACACCCTCTGCTTTCTGACTACACACCATGTTTCTGCTCATGAGGTCTCCGATGTAAACCACCACATTTATCTCAGGTGCCCACACTTCAAACTCTCTCTGCCATGAGGTGAGAGTGGACAAGGGCACCACCACCAGGAAAGGGCCGTACAGCTGGTGCTGATGGAAGAGGTACGACAGGAATGATATTGTCTGAATCGTCTTGCCCAGCCCCATTTCATCAGCCAGGATCACACTGTTGTTCCTAAGAAAGAAGAGAAGAAACATAAATGCTGTCCGAGTGCATTTCTGCCACTACTAATTTACTGTGCACCAGCATGAATAGCAATCCACAACTGGGACAGAAAGGGGGCAGTGCAAAAACATTTATCTGAACACTTCCAAGTGGATCCCAGGGACATCCAGATGGTAGGCAGCATGATAAATTGCAAAAAGGAACAAACTCTGATCACTCCAAACTGGCAAGCAAGGACAAAGGCAAAGGAAGAGGGGAGTCAGTGGCCTAATTTTAGAAGGACATTTCTCAAACACTTCAACAAGTGTGTAGGCATTCTGGGCCAGAAACCTTTTTTTCAGTTAAGGCAATGGAAAATTAGGGCTGATATGTAGTAGGCTCACACAGCAGCCAAGTCTAGCATTTGAACAGACCCAGACAGGGAAAATGCTTTTTGTTTTTGCACAAGGTTTCTTAAGTTCATGCTTTAGTTCTTGCTTGCGGTGCCTGCAATGCAGCTGGGTGTGATAACATTTAAAATCCTTCAAACTGCAGAAGGAGGCCAGGTAAAGACCTCACTTGAAAACGAGAGGGTCAGATCCTACTGGGACAAAAATCAGGAGACACAAAGCGAACGTCACATAGCATCCGCACATACTTGCACCACGAGTGAGCAAGCCAGTTGAGACCCTCCAGCTGGTAATCTCGCAGCTCCAGGTTCTCACCACCAATGTAAGAAGGCTGTTTCTTCAAGGCAACAAACCTCGGTCTCTGCTTCAGTACCTGAAAAAGATGCTGCTCTAAGTCCATTGAAGAAAAAGACGAAGTAAGGCTGAAAATTCAGCAGTGAAATCTATGAAATATTCAGCAAAGAACATGTATCTCTTCATCAGTTAAAGTCTGTTTGCATTTTCCTAGCCAGTGATTATGTCTGCGTTTCAGATAACTGCTCTGCAGTGCTACATTTTGCCTGCTGCCCTTTGGCTCTGATAACTACAGCTGAGTCCCCCAAAGAGTGCAGTAAGCTGTACATAATGCACACAAGATGGAACAAGCTCCACTTTCTTTTTGTTCTCTTTTGGTTTTTCTCCCATCATTTCTGTCCCTCTCCTCCACTATATCAGCATCCCGTAGGTTCCCTCTTTTCCCAAGTGTGCTGTTTTTTCATCCAACTGATATTAAAACTTTGCATTTCTGCTGCAGCTCCTTCTGAGAAGGAAGCACTTTGCAAGGATTAATTAAGCCTCCCACTCCCCAGGGGGACATAACATTCTCACAGCGTAAATGAAGCTAAAAGGGGTTCACATCTCTGCCTAAAGTACAATACAAGAACAGAAAACAACCATTCAAACTCTGGTGGGAGGATGGGAAAACGTTCTCTGACATTCATCCTGACAAAACTCCACTGTTCCCACTGCTTGTGTCATCACCCAGCCTGGAGAAACCCAGTAACAGGAGAGAAGAGAAAAGCAGCGAGCAAACCTTGCAGTCCCGGGTAGGAATCGTTTTGGAATTGTTACGATTGTTGAAGCTGTCAATGCAGTGCTGGAATTTCTTGCTTATAAGAGCCTCATCTTCCCAGCTGCACTCGGCATAGGGCAGCCCCATCCACTTACACAGGTATTCGGGGTCATTCGAGGACGTTTTGCGACTGTTTGCTGCAAAATATGCAAAAAAGCCCAAACCTCAGCAACTGTGGTTCTGTGGCTGAACCGCAAGCCTGGTTCACAGGGGCAGTCTGAACCACCCATACAACCACAAGACAGGTCTCAGCTAGTAGGAAAATCTTAGAGGGACCAAAAAAATGCTTCTTTACCTGGGAAATCCGAATGTCCTGTCGCAGACTTGCTGGTCTTCACAGCTGTGTTTGGAGACAGAAGGGAAGGAAGGGTTTGGAGTGCTGGCAGCCAGCAGAGGGAGCAGGGCAGGCAGGCTGTCACTGCCACACATCCCAGGCGTTTTTACAGAAATTGTATGAAAATTGGTTCAACAGCTCTCCGTGCCAATTCCCACAGCAACTGGATGCCAGCACCCCTGACTGACATGTCTGTGATAGCACTGAAGTGCTCAGTAAGTCCTGGTTTTATTTTTAATAAGTAATCAGGAAAATCTAACCTCTGAGCTGCCTTGCAGCTTAACCACATCCTCAACCAGGTCACAGAAAGCAGTCCTCACAACAGCTGGGCCTGTACTGCTGCTTTGGATGTAAACACCTTGCATCCAAAGGGCTCAAGTCAAAGAACTTCCACAGCAGCAACTTCAACATCCCCTTGAAAGCCAGTGTATCATCCCATACTCCAGGCAAGGAGAGTGATTTGTATTGCTTATAAATACTGTAATACACTTGGATTTCTACTGCTCACATGCCTGAATTTCACACACTGAAATACACTTAACACCATTTTTTTTGCCTCCAGAGACACTGGAGGACAGGGAAGAGTGAGCCATACATTCATTCTGCTGTGGCTAGAGATTAAAGTTCCCACGTCTTTCTTCACCCCCTTACAAAAATGTTGGGTTCACTTACCAATTACTCTCTCCACTATTTGATACTGTTTGTTCAGTTCTGAAGCTAGCTCTTGTTGGCAGTTGAAATATTCTACATCTTCGGGTGATACCTTGCCCAGCCTAGATGCAAAAAAATCCCAAACAAAAAACCACTATAAAGCTTCTGTCATAGTGCTCATGAAGGCCACATATGGAAATTCTACTTTCCTATATGGTTCTGTCATTCAGACAAGTCACTGCAGCAGACTACTGTTTATGTGACATGTTTCTTAAAGCCTCCTATAATTACAAATTATTGCTGAGAAGCAAATGTCATAGATGTTCATACTGTCTCGCTGTTAAATGGCACCTTATTCTCCTCCAAGAATCAGTCTCAAAACCAGAATCAGACAAAGATGAAAGTTGCTTTTATCAGTTTGGAAACACACCGAAGCTTCCCTTATAGTTCCTGGGGAGGTTGGACATAAACTGATGCAAAAATTTGCATACAGACAAGGGCTAGTAAGGCTGCACCTCATTGGTGTCACCTCCTGGGCCAGGTGAACCTGTGCACAATTTATTTGTTGTCAGCTACCCCAGTTCTTAAGTCTGAGAACAGGCAGTATTGTGGATTTCATGCTTCTTCCTCTCTTTTTCAACACCATGGCCACAGATATCATGTATTTAAGGGGGGATGTTTTTCAGTAGGCAAAGGGAGACGTGAATGTTGTGCACTGAAAAAAACTGCTTCCAATGAAACATACTTTGCAAGAAGAAATCAAATGGGTTTTTTTCAGCTGTAACTCTGTAAACCTCTGGCTAAAAAAGATTCGCCCAAGGCCAAATCACTGGTTGAAGTAAAGCATACCATTGCTTGATCTCCTCCTCTTTTTTCTTGAAGTTTTCTAGCTTTTTCAGGCCCTTCACTTTCTGCTGCTGCAGGGACTCTTCACTCTCCCATGTGCTATGGATGTATGACCAGCCTTTCCATTTGATCAGGTACTGAACTTCTCCCTCATCCTTTTCAGGATCAAAGTCAGCACTTGGGTTGCCATTGGCTTCAGTTGCATACACCGTGGTGGAAGCACCAGTGGCTGCAAAAGAGATCAGGCTGCAGTCAGTACCTTTGTTATCAAGCACGGGACATAAACTGCATTAGAGCAAAAAGTTATTTTACTAATACATCTTTTGACACAGCACAAAGAATAACCTACAGATTCTGCAATCCAATGAGACGGGCACACAAAAGCTTTGCATACACCAGAATCTTTTTTAATCTGTCATGTATGTCTTTAAGTATAATTCAAAGGTCTCTTGAAAACGTTCACAACCATACAGTTTTACAAAACCACTTTTGTAAGGCTATGAGAACAAAACATCGGCTTTATTTTCATTATGGCTTTGTCACTGGAGCTACGAAAACTGACTCTACCGGAAGATCTATTTTATATTTCAAAAAAGGGAAAGGCAAAAAATGCAGAACAATAACTGTACCTTTAAAATGTGTGCATGCTAAATGAAAGCTGCCAAGCACATAACTTGGACATTTTAGGTTTTTCAGTACTAGATTTTACAAAAGCTGCCAGAAGACATAAATAACAGACATACAGGAAAGGGTGAAGAGCACTGAAGCAACCCTTGGCTCCACTTTGAAGTTGCAAAAGCATTGCACCAACTTACGAGAAACTGTGGGTGCACATGATTGACATGAGAAATAAAGGCTTTTTCCAGAACTACACACCTCCTTTCTTTCCAAGCCTGATGTCCAAGACTTTCTCAATAGTTTCACTGTTGTCTTGTTGTTCATCAGCTCCTTCCCCAGTCATCTCTATCAGGTCATCAGAATCCGTCTCAAAATCATCATCTTCTTTGTAACTGAATAAGATCAAAACCAAATTGATAGAAAGCCCTTGACTATTCCCAGTCTAGAAACACACAGAATGGCATGGACTTTAGCAAGCCTTCTCCAGCATTTATCCTGTGGTTCAGTGCATGTTCACCACATGCATTTCTTAAGTTAGCCATTCAATACTTTTCCCCAAGACACTCAGCTGGACTTTATCAGGCTAATACTCTATCTTGCTCATGTAATTTTTCTGACCATGGCCAACACCGGATACTTTGTAAGGAGATGGAACAACACCTGTAGCAGAAGCGAGGCCATTAACAGAGAAAGTCTCCTCTATCTGGTCAAAGATTATTTTATGTATAGCAATGGAGGTTGCAGAGCATCGAAAGGCTGCATGGGTGCTTACACTGCCCTAGGAACTACACTTCTCATCTTCGGTGAACATTTAACCACCAAAAAAGCATTCTTCAGGTGGCTGTCTGCACCTGCCTTACTAGGACTGTCAAAAGGTGAGGAAGTACATCGGGGAATGGATAACACTGCCTGCACCGTGTCTCAATACTCTGTCCCAAGGCATTACCTATCAGCCACTCTCAAATAACTGGCCTAATCTAGCACAGCTGCTGCCTTTTACTCATTTTAATCTATTATTTGCAATTCTTAATCTCATCTGAGAGTGCTTTCGAAACATTATGCAAATATCCTCACATTTCAGTAAGAGGGACTGGTAAATATTCCCTCCTTTACAGATGGCAAAACAAGGTAAAGAGAAGTCAGATGTTCACAGCATGAATCTGTCAAATGAACCACATCTCAGCCAACAGGTATCTGCAGGGCAGAGCAGGGGCTCTGAAGCATCACACAGGGAGTCAGGGCCCTCTGGTGTCCCCTCTATTCCAGCCAGCCAGCTCTCATCATCAAGCAACCCCACACTTCTTGATACCTGACATTTTTGGCTGCTCTTCGTCGAGTTTGTCTCTTGGGGGTCTCATCGTCTTCATCGTCATCATCATCTTCAGATGAGACCTGTTTCTTTCTCTTCTTCCCACGCTGGGGTTTGTGAGGCTTTTTAACAGTGGTTTTAGCCACAGTTCTAAAAATAAAAATTAACAGAAAGCCATACTACAGTGTGGTTTACATAAACATCCATTTCAGTAGACATTTAAGAAAGCATGAATCTCAAATATTAGACTCCTAGGGATTTAGTCTGCTCCCACTACCATGGAAACCACTGCACCACTCACTGGAGTGTGAAATGGGTAGACAAGAGAGTAACTAGGTCCTAGGTTTACCAGGTCAAAAACATGGGCAATATTGCAGAAAAGAAAAAAAAAATTATTTAGTGACAAATAGAGATTACCTCTCCACACAGCACAGGCAGAAAAAACATACACAGAAAAAGAGACAGACTAAACCAACCACTCCTTACCTCCTTTGGGCAGGTCTTCTTGCTTTAACTTTCTTCGGTTCAGGTTCACTCTCTCCACTAGTTCCTTGCTCCCCTCCATCTTCATCCTCTTCCTCACCAGAGACCTCTCTTTTCCATTTATTTCTATGGTCAGAAACGTTGGTCATGAAGGGCAATCATATTTCAACACAAATACTTGGTTAAGCAGACATCCAAGCCATCTAGGTTAATACTAACAGGCCATAATTACAAGAAAAAGTTCAAAACTGCACTCTTGGTTGTTCAGTGCAATGCATGGGGGATTTTATGGTGTGATTCTGTGCTTTTAGGAAGAGGTCTCAGTCACCTAGGTGTTTTAGTTCACATAGTGGCAGTATATGTTGAGTGAGAGTGGCTCCTAAAACATACTACAACAGTGCTTGTGGCAGAGCTGTACTTCTTACAACTGGGTGGGAAAGTGCTCCGATTTATTTATTTTTCTTTACACTTCTGCATTTCTGAAATGATCTGGAAATATCTTAAGAGGAGTGCTCACTTTCACTTATGGAGTACAAGCCACAACATGCACAGTTACATGATCTCCTTGTAGCCTGGAAAATGGAGCAAGAAGTCTCCTGCCATCTAAATTCAGGCAATTAAAGTTTCCAAGCATGAAGCCAAATCACACTGTGCCATTAGTGGAAGGAAGCATGTTCTCCGCGGGCAATTCAGAACAAAACTGCAGCTCCAAAATGCCCTTCGAAGGAGCCCCTCCTCTCTCCAAGGGGATGTGAAGAGTTGACAGGGATTATTCCCCATGCCCAGGAGAGGTCCATACTACCACAGCCCTCCCTGAGCTTTATCACCTTCCCTCCTGCACTGATGTATACAACTAAATGAAAATTTAAAAGACAAGAAACAGGAGAAAGGGAACAGGATCATGTGGCTGTGTTTAAGTTTTCTCCAGCAGGCAGCTTGTAGTTCAGTTCAGTTTAGCATTTGGAAAAAATTAAAAGGTACTTATTAGATGGAAAAAGGCAGTGAAATATGACTGTAAGTGAACACAGTTACGGTGATCAGACATCCAAAATATCCTTTATGGAAGTTCTTCTGTTTTAGCAGAGGGTTATAAAAAATAAAAGAGGGTAATATTTTGGCATTTTATCCTCTGTTAATCAAAAAGGTAGGAGGAGAAGGGATTGAACTATTTTAAGTATCTCTGAAGGAGAACAAATAATCTGGTGGAGAAGTGAAATACTGACAACAGAAAGTGAACCTGACTTGTTCAGATTCTGTCACTGGCAAAGTGAGAAAATATAAACAAAAGAAAAGCTGGGAAATTGCATCCATCTGTAGATCCAAATTCGTATTTCAATTTCAGTCATCCAAAGTATTATTACTGGAAATATTAAATAACTTATTTTACAAGATCTCTGTGTTGACAACACCGATCAAACAATCCAATACTACTATTCTGAAAAATAAAACAAAACGAAATACCACTATTCAAAAACCCTTTCCCTAGAAACTTACGCTTTCTTCATTTGCTTCTGGCCTCTTCTTTTTGGGCTCTCATTTTCAGATTCGCTACTTGCCTTTAATTGAAAAGAAAGAAAATCAGGTTGTAGGCTTCGCTCTGGACTGTCTCCTCAAGGACACAACTGAAACACATGCACGCGGCCTGAGCCTGGACACAGCCCGACTGCTCCTCCACTGCAGCGCTGGAAGGATGTTTTGGTGCGACGGGGCTGCACAGGAGCAGCCGGTTCCCTCTGCTGCAGGGTTAATCTCGCTGCACCCTCAGCGGGAAGAAGGTAACTCTGCAGAAAGGCTGGAGAGCTCTACTCCAACATCTGTCCCGGAGTCCCTGAGCTCAGGATGCACAAGGCTGTGTGACCCACCTACCCCTCAGCATCACCCTCCAATACCTGGTAGATGCCGCCTCGGCAGTGGCCGTGCAGACCTGCAGTGTGTGCAATACCCCACGGATTACAAAAACCACGGGGTGACTTTAACCCACCAAACCTTGCACTGCCCGCTGCTGGAGCCAAAACCCCAGAGAGGGAGAGAGGGGAGGCAGCTCAGCTACTGCTACCTCTGCCTCAGGTGCAAGGCAAGCATTGTTCCTGCCTGATGCTTAAGAATCAGGCAGCAACGTGTCTCTGTGCCTTCTGGACAGCACTTCCAGGGCCTGCCGCAGCACTAGGGCTCAGCTGTTCTACAAGGCTTTTTAAACTGAAAGTGCAGTATGAATGTACTTTCGTAAGTGCCCACAGTTGCCATTTCAGAAGGAATCCTGCAATATTTGGGGGCATTCAGGCTTAGTTTCTGTGATTGCAGAAACTTTTGCAGCCACTCAAATGCATTATGATCTCTGCCTTCATTAGATAAACTTTCTGTAAGGAAGGGAATTCTTATAAAAAGATAATATTCTCATCACAAGAGTGTCTTTGCTTTCCCGAGTCACTGAGGATCTGACTGGGTCAGAGCCACGTCCTGCTGCTTTCCTTCCTCCTAACTCTCCAGTCTCCACCAGTGAAGTCTCTCTGGCTAAATATATCTAGAGATATTCTAACTACTTGCTGTACTATTTTAAATGTGGGCGTCATTAACTCCTACAGACCAAGATAACTAAAAAAAAAGTCTTTAGGCTGGTTGTACACAACCCCATTTTTGTATAAACAAGTCAACCATAAAATCAAATTACCACACAAATAACACCCCTCAACCAACAGATGACTTCACTGTATACACTTGCCCCAGAAAATACAAATCAGCAGGAAGAAAACTGAAGAAGCCAGTGTAAGATTTCTCAAGGAGTGTTAAAATGATAGAAAGTAGCCTCCAAGACTGCTTGCTCTACATGCTTATTGGAAATCCTCCACTTCACACTGCTTTTTGCCGCAGTATTCAGCTTTAGCTGTAGGTGTCCATCACCACAGGTACCTCAGTTTGTATCTCCTGATATGCCCACCACCCTCCCAGATACAGCTAGCAAAGCTTAACAACCAAGAGCTGCTCACACAAGAATTTTGTAATACAATGTCAGCTGCAACATGAAAAAAATCGAGGCTCTGGAGGGCCATGGCCCAACCCCTCAGATTGCTTTCTGCATCCTTTATTTACATTTTCCAGCTTCCCTTCCACCCTCTCACTTGCATCAGTGTTTCCATTAAAATATACTGAAATACTGGATGCCACGGTAGACCAAAAGCTTGTCACATTTACGTGACACAATAACACCTTTTGCACCATATCTTACTATGGATGCCTATTCATCCACCTGTTTGACAGCCCTGCACGAAATCCCTGTCTCATTTACCAAGAATCCAGGAAGCAAGTGACTGACAAACACCGCGGAGAGCCCTACCTACCCTTGCAACATAAGCCAAGCATTCCACAGATTACAGTTTTGACAAGCAAAGTTTAAAAGACCTCAATTTTCTTTTTCTCCTTTAATCTCTTATCCGCTTTCTGAAGCATGCTGCTTTGCCATTCTGATTTTGGCATGTTTTCTGGGAGCTGTCCCTCAGTGCACATTTACTTTTTGCTGTCTTTTGGCAAATGACAAGTAAAGAGAGGTGGATTTTTCTTCTGCTCTGCGTCAGAGAAGATCAGGTTTGGAGAAAACCAACTAAAACCCTTGGCTCTTTAAAACTAACTCCACTTCTTTGCCAAAATCTCGTTTTCCAAGTTTCTAGTGTCCATTTTCCTAATGCCTCTACTCTCCCCCTTTTCTGTTGCTCTCTCTATAAAGCTGATGCTTTTAAAGACTCGTCTTTTCCTCATCTCTTCCTGCCTTGAAAAATTTAACTTGTTACTGCAATTCAGCCGCCTTCAGTTACATTTTTCAAAGACACCATTGTCTTTTTTGGATGCATGTCAAGCTCAGCTCTATCTCCTCTGACACAGCCAGTCCCCAGCCTGAGTCATCTGCCTGCCTTGTGCTCCCACATCCTCCCAGCCCGAGTGCGGGGAAGCGCCGTGCCTGCAGCCCCGCGCGCAGCTGCCCGTGACTCAGCCTCTCCTCCTCGCTCCCTCGCCCACCACCGACCCGTGTCTCCTTCTCACCAACTCCTCCTGGCATCCTGACTCTGGCTGAAAGCTGTTTTCTACCATTTTATACAGAAATAATAATTTTTTTTTTTTTTTTTTTAAAGCATAAGCACATTTTAGCAACCTCTTAATTCCGCTTCAATCCACATTTCAGGACCCAGCTGCAAAACTGTACGCTGACTTGCTCAAATCGGCCCAAGGGTGAGATATACACCTCTGCAGCGCAGAGCTTGTGCTTGTAACACCCCGTTACCAACGCCAACCCACAGGCTCTGGCTGGTGGTAAACTCCTCAGTTTAGGAAGCCCGGATGACAAGCAGGGAGCTGGGAGCACACCAGGTCCAGGGCGCGCAGCCGAGGTCCCGTCTGTACTCCAGCCTGCCACCCACCGTCACCAGGAAGCAGACCAGGTGGGAAACTGCATGCAGCTTGCACGTTAACAACGTCACCTCCCTGAATGACACAAGCTAAGCTGACAAAATCCGTTTCCAGTCCCCACCAGGGCTTTTGTCAGCCCAGCAAGAGGTGCTGGGGACACATTGCCTTGCTCTCAGAGCCTGAGTACCAGCCCTGCCAAACTCTGCTGGGCCCAGGCAGCCCCTCTGGGTGCTGCTGCTGTGGCCAAGGGGAACGTGACTTGCCTTCCCTAGCTCCCCCTTTCCCTCCCAAACGCTACAAACGTGCCCAACTTATTCCTGCACCAGTACTTAACCAACTGGACGAGGCACTGGACTCTTGCAGTTTGCTTTCCCTACCTCCAGCTGAAGGGAGCAGCCTTCCCTCTCCATGCCTCACTGATGCCTCCCATCTAATTTATTCTTTCTCCCTCCCAGCACATAAAGTGTGCACACTTCTACTAGATTAATTCTGCCATGGAGCAACACTGTACAAAACATAATGCTGCTGCACACACAGCACCAAAAAGAGCAATGCAGCAGCAGCTTTAAAGTTCTGGTCCTACAGGTTGTCCACAAGTGTCCTCGCCACTAGCCCAGGGCAGGAGAAATGTAGAACTCAAGGCCATTGGCATGGTCCAGCTGAGCCTCTCGAGCTCATGGTGCCTACTAGGAGATATGAAGACCTGCTTAAACAGAGGCAATGAATGTTTCAGGCTAAAGTCAAAGTGAGGATTTGCTCATTTCAGGCTCAACAGAGGCGAAGCTCTAGTGCTCCAGAAAAGCCGGAGAATCTCAGCTCGCCAGGTTAGTTTTCTTACATCTGCTGAACTTCTCTCTCCCTGCAACACCAGCAGCATTTGAACTTTCAGCAAAGACATAAGGCAAAGCATTAATCAAAATGTAAATGAGCAGATTTTTCTTTTTTTTAATAATAAAACCAACGGTATTTTGGCAACACCTCTGGTGCATGAACTTGTGGCCTCTCACAGAAAAGATGCACCGTGCCATCTATTACCAACTCCAATCTCAAACCATTCTTTTTATAGTAAAAAGATTGTGTCTGTTTCGGGCACATTTATTTCTCAACTGTCCCAGAACATTCTGAATGGCACCTGGCTCCGTATGTCTCACTTCCCCTGGCTGAAACCTGAAACTGATTTATTAACTGCAAAGAAAACGTATGGGCAAGTACTGTTTTTACTAAAAAACTCACATGTGTTCTTATTCCTGGAGACAGCCCCAGCCCTCTGAGCATCTCCGTACCCCTATGCAAAACTGCACTTTCACTTCCTGATCTTTCAGCCCACACCTCAGTATTGATCACAAGTTATCACCCTCTCTGACTGCAGCTCAGACACGTACACGAAGTGCCTGGTGGCCTCCGGGCAGTTCCCAGAAGACAATCATTTCTAACACGGAAATAACCCTGCCCAAACTGCTGGTCTCAGAAGACAGACTAGTGATTGAACAGTGCCCCAAAAACTGAGCCACCTCCACCTACGTGCCATCTCCCCCGACCAGGGTGAGTCACGGGGCAGCACGTGGGGAGGTGTGATAGCTGATTCTTGTTCTGCGCTCTGAGCCTGCCACGCTGCCTGGGCGATGCTGTTTGCTAATGCTGCAGAGAAGCGTTAGGGAAGAAGGCAATAAAAAGCTCCTAGACACTGTGCTGGAAGTCCCAAGCAGCAAGCGACAACAGCAGGTCACTGGCGACAGGCTTAACCCTGTAAAGGTAAAAAGCAATCTTAAGAGGTGTCAAGCGCCTTGGGTTTCTGCCAGCTCCAGCAGCAGCAAGGAGTGCTCAGCACCATGCAGGCTCGAGCTACGCTATTTCCTCCCTCTTGGTGTTTAGATCTTCCAAAAGCAAGACTTTCCATCACCTCCTGCTCTTTGTGAGGCCCCAGCACTGTGCTCCTGACACGTCACACCCTCCATCGGACTCTGCTGCAGATGGGAGTTGCCCTATGGGGACCAGTCAGTGTTGCTCTGGGGGGAGAAAGGGGAAGGGGGTGGTCCAATTTTGTGAATTTCGGCTTTCCGTTTCACCGAGGTAGCAGTGGGGTCATTTGGAGGACTTTTTTTTTTTTTTTTACAATATTTTGTGGTATAGCAAAGTTTTTACATCTTGGATTTTTTTATTTTTTTAAAAACTTTATCGTACCTTAAGTAGTAGGAAATAAAGATATCGGAAAAGAAAACAACATTTGCAAAACCACGTAATATTGTAAAACAAAAAAAGATGGGACTTACCTGAGCCCCTAAGAGGGCACTCGGGTCTGCAGCGGAGGTCTGTGGTGGGTGTGACATCGCCAGCACAGTGCATGCCGGGGCATCGCACAGAGAGGCGGCCAGCGAGCCTGGGCTTTGCCGAACTTGAAAAGGAAAACAAAAGCTAAGTCAATGATGGGCCCCAAGCTCCTTCCTAACCTGCTGCTATGTGGGACATCCAGCACAAGAGTCTGGGGGGGCAGGTGGTGGCACTGGGGGTGCTGCAAGGCTCAGTAATAACGCAACAGAGCAAGGAGCCGGAGACCTGCGTTCCCTGCGTGACTTGGACCCCTCGAGCATCCGAATGTGCATTTTGGTGGCAAAGCACAAACAGCCTGACCATCCGAGCGCATCACCGGGCGCCTGCTCTGATGAAAATCTGGCTACTTATCTCCAGATTCCCAAGTGCATGTTTCTGTAGCTAGTCTAAGCCCCGAGCTTTACTTTCGGTCTAAGCCTCTCCCTGGTTTTCATTCCTCTGTGCTATAGCTCTCAACCTTCCTGAAGACCTGCAGATGAAAAGCCTATGCAGAAAGCTTGCTAGCTGCCACCTTCATTTGCATCTAATTCTTCAGAAAAAAAAACAACACAGTGTTCTGAAAGAAGGTCAATTAGAACGTATTTCTGTCAGGCTCTGACCACCATCATCTCCAACTGAAGCACAAAAGATTCCCCAATATTCAACCAAAGAAAAGTGACAGTTTGTAAAGCTGAACACACACAAATGCATTTATCCAGCGTGAGCCATTCCAGGATGGGCAACAATGACTGTTTTGTTATGAGGTATTTCTGGGAAGCTTCCTTTATTCCTGGTTGGATTTGTGTTGTGTTTTGTTTTGGTTGGGTTTTTTGGTTTGTTGTTTTTTGTTTGGTTTTGGGCTTTTTTTTATGTTTTTTTTTTGTTTGTTTTTGTTTGTTGTTGTTGTGGTTTTGTTTTTGTTTTTTTTTTTTTTTTTCTTTTTACACAGACTCATTCTCTCCAGGACGTTTCTACAGCAGAGCATGACTTGCGTTACGCCCCATTCCAGCAATCAGATCAGTGCATGCAGCTCTCAGCCCACGCAGGGTCCCGCTGACTCCAGAGGTCTCAGGCCAAGAGGATCCAACTGCAGGACTGGGACCTTAACTGTGAGCTCCAACATCCACGCACCAAGCTAGGACTCGGTGTTTACAAGGCAATGCAAACGAGACCTGACTTTGCTCTTTGGGTTTGGTTGGTTTTGTATGTTCAGTAATCCCTCTTTTTTTTTTTTTTTTTTTTTCCTTACCTCATCTTTTATATTAAATCGCGATGGTTCTTGTCTGCTTCGGTTTGACCTCCTAACCCCATAAACATCAGGATATTCTTCCCACATCTGCAAAATAAACAGACCATCAGAAGGCCTGCTTCACCCCAGTTATTTCTGACATTTTAGAAGTTTGATGGTGAATGTTTTAAAAATAAATCAACATAAAACCATTACAGAATTAGCAACCAGTAGATGGACACTTTAAAAAACTGGCTGAAAAGGATTATGATTATTTTGGGGTATCTGGTAACACTCTAAAGCAGCATGTTTTATCTCAGCGTTATCTTTACAGTGGTCCATCTTTCCACCAGGGTACAAATTACTCTCCAGCTCATTCAGGCTGAAGGATCGAACGCTGAGACAGATACACAATACTCTGCAAGCAACGGTGCTGAAGGTAAAGAGGCAACACCTTGCCCTTGGAACGAATGGACCTACCAACTCAAAAGGACAATTCACTGTCACTAACAGGTTCCACCACAATTCCTTTCCATAGAAAATACCCCCATCAGCCGCCTGACAAGCCCGGTGAGAAGACACAGCCAGCAGCCACTTCAAAAGTGAATTCTGTGGCCCAGCCTGGATGGCAGGCGGACCGGGACACCCTGTCCCTTGGCAAGGCACTGCGGTGCTGCTGCCGGTGCCTCTCCTGAATGCACTGATGCGAATGCGGTTTGGCAGCGCAGGACACGTGGACGTGCAGAGCCGACTACTGGGAACGGTTGTGCTCTATTTGCTGTAACCAGGCCTTAAAAAGTTTCACACACTGTGCGTAACAGCGTGCATTTGTTCTCGCTGGATGGACAGGAGAAGGGGGAACACAAGGACTGATGTCCTGAGGGATATGAATGCAGAGCTGTGTTGGTGACACAGGGCACCACAAGATTTACAGGACAGATACAAACCACCAGCATCTCTCAAACACCTACACCCACAATCCCTCTCTCCCTCAGCAGAGCTTATCCTCTTACAGTTTTCTAAATCTATTCATTCTTCTTCTGCTTCTCTCTCCCTCCAGTCCCCAAATGTCTCTGTGAACCACTTGCAGGAAAAAGAAATCAAAATACCCTGCCAGATGCAGCAGCGATTTGGGATTGAGAGCGTGATGAATGCAAGGCTGCAGCCCAGAATTTTTTCTGCTACTGTTAAAGGAGTAATGGGATAATAATGCAAAAGATAGATTGCAAAGGTGTGTATCTGTGGGGCATGCGAGTACAGAGGCAAATTCACATGAAAGAAAAACTCAAAATACTCCTCAAATCGTTTGAAGAACTTGTCTTTTCGTCTTTTAAATGGCACAGGTTTTGCATGAGGGATTGACTCCCATGACAAATCTGAATAGCACTTAACGCAAATTAACCTCACCTTCATGGGTGTATCTAGACAGAAATACAAAATAAACAATAATATAATAATTAATTGCATTGGTTATTCAAGGTGAACAGGTATCAACATGCTTAGGTTAGACCTAGCTAAGGAAAACACCCATTAACAGAGAAATTAAGGAAGGGAGAGGCTTTCTTATTAGAGGGTGCCCTGACCTTTTCATGTTTCATCCATACTAATTATCGCCCTGTGTATGGATGCGCTCCCTCATAGGATAATTTTAATGTTTATTGTTAGGGACATGCTTTTAGAAGCGCACAGAGGAAGATAAAACTTCCTTCAGTCCCCATTTATCAACAATAAAACAGAAATTTCAATATTGTGTTACCACAACTGCTTTATAAATGCATCCTTCTTTGCCAGTCTGAACACAGGAGATTTAGCCAGGACCTGAGCTGGCAGCCTCGAGATTTCTGAGAAGCTGGTAGCAAAATCCTTCACTTCTCCCCTGCAGGTACGTGGGGAGCACAGGCTGAAAGCACGCCCTTCCTGCTCAGTCTTTACATACATAGCAACTTTCTCCATAGAACTCAATCTCATGAGCAAGCTCTGCAAAGTGCAAACCACAGCTAAGGACAACAACAGGATAGTTACACACCACAAACAAACAAACAAACCAACCTGACCTAACCTGATTTTCCTCCCTCCACATAAAATCAGTTCACTGAGTTCCTGTCTCCGAATGCGTATTCGGGCTCCTCTTTCTCACCTCACACTAGGCTGATACTCAGGTATCCAAGGCACAGCTTCTGCACTGGGGAGGTGCTCGACAACCAGAGGGACACCACATGCATTAGACACCTGCAATCCCTTTTCTTCCTGTGCAGCAACAGGAGGAGGGGCAAACTTGCCTATTTGAGGGGGGTATTGCTAGGGTGTAGCTGGGAAGCTGCAGAAAAAGAACACAACAGAAAACCACTACTCTGGACACAATAAATAATAAAAGTTAAATAGCCTTTTTTCCCCTCCTCTTTTTTTTTTTTTTTTTTTACTTTTTTCAAAGAGGAAGACAGTGATGGAAACAAACCAAAGTGGCCCAAATCCTAGACAAGCATTCTGATTATATACCACAGGGAAGCTTTAGCACTTCTGAGGGAGAGACAGGAGAGAGGAGTGGAAAGACAAAGGGAAAGGATGAAATGACAGGGTCATGTACTGATGACAGGCGACTGCCCCTCATTCGCACCAGTCAGCCCCACCACTATCTATCCGGAGCCCAAAGGGTTGGTTCCATCAAACACACAAGCTCCTGCTCACAAGGATGACACCAGCAAGGGCACAGGCACACAGACCAAAGAGCCGAGTGACCTGGGGACACAGAGGTCGGAGGCTGTTTGGTCAATGTGCAAAGTGGCCGGGAAGTTGAAGACAGCTTCGTTAAGGTCCTGCTGTCTGCCCTTTGGTGGTGGGTACAGGGGTAACACGGCTGCGCAGAGCAGCAGGGGCAATACCTTTTTAACATCTGCTATCCTTTCCTTCTTAGAGGCAGGTTTTTCTTTGGTTTCAGGAGGGGTCTGCTGGGATTTCGAACCCGTTGATTCACTTTCAGATTCAGACTGACTTTCAGAGGACTCCGAGCTGCTGTTTGAGTCGCTGCCCTGCTCGCTTTCAGACTGGCTTGCGGAGTCAGAGCCAGAGGCTTCTTCAGATGCTGAGTGACTGACGGTAGAGAAAGAAGAAATTGCATTTTAACTGTACTGTCACAGCTTGAAATATGCAGCAAGCAAACCTGGGCCATGTTCGAGCTACAACAACAGGCTTGCAATAGCCTAAATGCAAGTGTGAACCGTGCAGTCCCAGACACCCTGCACTGGCATACTGAAGCAGAAGCAATTCCTTCCCAGGACAGGCATTGAACACATGGGTGAGAGTGTGGCCTCAAAAATCACTGTCCAGTATCTCCCAGTAGCTCATCAACCAGACCAAAAAGAACGGTGGTACCATGAAGAGAAGCAACAGCAATACCAGCAGCACAGATCCTACTGGGAGGATCTGGCTCGGTCAGAGTGAGCAAGAGTAAGGTACAGTGGGAGCTAGAGCATACAGAGACCATCCTGCTATATTAAAGATAAGCAGTTGCTCCAGCACAGCTGTCCAGGACATCCTAGTACGGCCAGTGGTTCAAAATTCTGACATCCAATTTCTGAAAGAGGCCAGCATCAAATATTGTACGCATAATACTATATATCATAGTAAATATGATGTTTCTTGCAAAAAGAATAAATTCAGCAACAGAACAGCAGAAAGGAGCTTATACAGGCATGTATGTTGGCTGGGTCAGTTCCTGTTTAAAGGATTACACCAGTGCTGTGCAGACTGCATTTCTCAAGTAGCCAATAATGGGAGAGCAGAACAAATAGGTGTATTTTGCCTTTTTTCCCCTTTACATTAGAATGGGTTAATATACAGAATATTCACTTAAATGCAGGCTCTTAACCAAACAAAACAATGAGAGGCCAAACCATTTTAGGTGGCCAGAATACCTTTGCCCAATCACTCCAATATCGATTTCTCATTTAAAATCCAATTAAAGAAAACTGAAAACTCATTACAACATAACATATATGCTAGTAAGGCAGCATTACAAATCCAACTCTATCACAAACCAAAATGCAGCGCAGCAATAACGATACTACAAAGTTCTGGAACAAGGAGTATCTCTTACCAAGTCAGCTCTTAATCTGCAGCTAGATGCTTTTGTAATATTTAAGGGCATACTGCAGATGTAACATCATGAAAGAAGAGTCAGGAAAATTTTGTAGAGGAAAACCACATTTTTTTAATCTTTCTCCTTTTGTACAAAACTATAGAAGTGACAAGATGCATCAAAGGCTCTGCTCAGATTTCTCAAATCAAGGAAGAAATAATACAAGGACAAAAGAGGAAAAGCATGTGTACAATTACATACAATTCTACAGAAACCAAGACGCGCTACAGAGATGGGATCGCTAGACTCAGCTACTGCTCATAGGTATAGCCACGTGCAAACAGGGCTAACGTACACCACAGAAATAAGTTTTCCACTCGAATAAAAAACCCCGAGGATCTCTGTGAAATGGAACGGGCCCAGCCCCCAGCAGCTCGTGCATCAGCGCTGCCGCCTCTGCCTCCCCGCGCCGCAGCTCGGCTCCGGCCGCCGCCTCCCAGGGAGCGGGCAGAGGGCGGCAGCCGAGCGCCGCAGGAACCTGCTCCAGAAATCCCGCCGGCGCAGGGCTCGCAGCCAGGCTCCCCGCCGCCATTTCACGGCCATCCCTCTTCCACCATCTTGCGATTTCGTTGCGGTTGGCGGCTGCGGCGCTGGGGCTGATCCCAAGTGCTAAAATGGAAGAGCGTAGCACGCGCAGGGCAAAAAGAAACAGGGGCGAGCGAGAATTTCTAAGGCTGAAGTAACAGAAACGGAGCCTTTTCAGCAAGAAGTGGAGGGGGAGCTGCCACCAATGGTTTCATTGTCCCAGCTTGGTTTTGAAGGAGACGGAGGTATCGCATCACTTCCTCCTAGCAGGGCTGGAAAATCAAGTTGAATTACCACCCTTCCAGGCCGCCGGTTGCTCCTGCCTATCCCACTCCTATCCGCCACAGCCACCTCACCATACCCTGCCGCTTGCCTGTCCCTTCCTCTGTGTTTTCTGCAACTTCCAGTCCCCTCTTCCCCACCGCAGCCTGCCACGGCTGCGCTCTCCTGCTACACCCCGCTGCCAGCACTGTCCACCGCGTCTCTCCCTGCTCGCCTGCCGCCCTGCCGCCCTCCGCACGGCTTCTCACCAAGCCCGTTCACAGACCCGCTGACACCTGGCCCCCAACGTCCCGCCCAAACACATCACTTCACAACCCAATCTACTTGGAGCAAGTGATGAAACTTCTCTGTTGAAGGATTTTCGGAGTTCCAGGGTTTTTTCGTGAAAACCAAAGGAATTTTATTAGGAAGTATTGCCACACCACTCAAGGAAACCATACTCCAGCAGCTCTGGGGACAGCCGGCTTCCACGGGCAGGGCTCAGCAGGACACCGTCCCACAGAGCCTCCTGCGGGGACAGAGACTCAACCTCCACAAAAGAAGGGGATATGGAGGCATCCAAACCTCTACTGTCACGACACGAAGTGGCAACATCGGGCTGTGGTTGAGTTGTGCTGGCATGCCATGTTCCAGGGGATGCACGAAAGAGGAAGACGCTTTTCTTCAGTGAGATTTATTAGCAATAGCTGGAAGAAATTATAACCACCCAGGCTAGACTGAGGCCAGACAGCTTTGGCAGTATTTGTTTAAAAGCAGAACAGTAATTACTGGCCTCCTCCCACTGTGGAGCTTTCTCAAGGCCCTAAGCTTTATTTCAAGGGCACAGGGACACAGCCTTTCTGCACACCAGTAGCCATAATTCATGTGCTTTATCCACATTATCTGGACACTATAATTCTTTTTTTCAACATGTGAAAAGAGGGTGACTTCTCTAGCGACAGAGACAGATGATGTACACATCTGCATGTACAGGTATGCACACACTTGCCCTACTAAGGAAAGAAATGTAGAAGACAAGTGGTATGTCCCTTTTGAAGGCTGTTGCAAATAAATTTTTTTAATAAACAATCTGTTATCAAGGCAAAAGGATATGTGCTTGTCTTTATTTTTACATGGATAGAGTAAAAAAAGAAGTGAAAAGGCTAATTCCATAAAATAATCCTTTCTATCACCAAGACAATCAGGAAGCACTTCTACCTGCCAACAGAGTATAAAGGATTAGCAATATTATACGTCAAGTAAGGCCTTACACTGTACATAACCAGAGATTTAAGTCCTCTTTTCAGAAGCCATTTTTGGAATATGTCCTGCTTTAATGCCCCTAAGTTAACATCCAAACAAGGCCTACTTGCAATTAAACTGTAAGTGGGCAATAAGCTATATTTGATTGTCCGAAAAATCACGATTCAACCAGTCCACACTCCTCCAAATTCAGCAGAGAAACACATGTGAACATCAAGAAAGCGACAGTTGGACCGTTGGTAACTCCCTTAAGTGAGAAACTCCTATAAAAATTGAGATCTACTAAGACTCAGCCAAGTATGTTCCCCTGGTTTCTAAGAAACACTTCAGGCTATAATTCTGTTTTAATTAAGAGCCTGCTACTGACTTGAGGGGAAAGAAAACCAAATCATCCATTACCAAGAAGGACACATTCCTTCCAAGAAATAAGTAGCTGAACAGCAGCGATAAGACCCTTTACAATCAGGCATCTAACTTTACAAGGCAGTTACAGCGTGCCTGAAGCCTCCAGCCTTAGCATTTAATATTTCACATATGACTTCATTTTATAGGGGATCATCTTTGCTAACAGCAACAAAACATTTTATAAGCTCTCAACAAGTACAAACAGTAGATATGTTTCCAGAATGTGCAAGACAAGCTGAAAAAATGACCCAATACGCATTTCTGGAAGTAAGAGCTGAAAAGGGAATGGCTCTAACTGGGACCATTCTGCTCAACTTTAAAATTAGGCTTTTGATGGACAGATCTTGAATTCAGTCAAGGGGATAAAGGAGGATTAATGACCCAAGACCCTCCCACAAGCCAAGCTCCTCCTAGCTTTAAAAGTCATTGTGATTATTTTGAATCTAAACAAGTTTGAATCCAAACAGCGAGCTCAGAAGGGACTCAGCACCAGCAAAACAACCACGTGCAGGCTCAAGAAGGTCCTTGGCACAAACTCCCAGGGCTGGATAATATCAGAAACCAAATTTATTATTTCCCTCAGGCAAACATATGCTTAACCCTTACGCATTGTTGGATGCAGCTTCACATGTCCTGTGGATAACTGACACCCAGGTGTCCATCCACATCTCGGCTCGCTGCCATGGAAAGGCCAAAGGCAAGCAGCTGGGAGAGAGTCCCTCCCCCCTCTCCCACCCATCCTCACTCCACAGCCCATGTTCCTAGTACTCACCCGTGCTTATACCAGCACTGACTGGGCTGCTGGTCTGACTTCTCCATGAGCCACTTCCAACTTGTTAACGTATCAGAAGATTAGCCCAGAGAAACAGCAAAATAGGTCTCTGCCAGCTTAGGAAGTAAAACCAGGACCAAACCTTTTCAGGAACCAGCAACAACAGCAGTATACTACGTCTGGCAGCACAAACAAGTTGAAGAGGAGAAAAGGGGCAAGCAAGACCCCAATTTGGGGGCAGACGGAAGGCAGCTGCTCAGTTAGGCCATCCCTGGGTCCTCAACATCCCTCTCTGGCAGAGCGCAGCCAACTGCCTGCGCTCTGGCTCAAACATTCCAATTCCATGGCAACCTTCAAACACGTGTGAGCAGGGTCGTGCTCTGGAACCGCAGGTCAGCCCACTGGACCTGCTGCCTTGTGGCACTGATGAACCACAGCACAGCAGCAGGCAGCCAAGCTGCGGCTCTCCGAAGTGAGCGGGATGTCTCCTCCAGACCAGACGTACCTGTCAGATCCAGCTCCACCAGTCAAAGAGGCTTCTCGGCCCCTGCAGCTCTTCAGCAACAGCTGCCAGCCTCACCCATCCACCGCTGGCACCGGCCCTAGATTTACTCCAAAGCACAGATTAGCAAAACCAAGGCAGGCCACCAATTTAAAATTATTTAAACAGATGTGTCTTCCTAAAGCAACCTACACACAAACTGTTGTACACACAAAGGGACAGTG